GATCAACTTTTTTCTGGGATACAATGTCCTCATAAAATGTATTTAAAATTCTATTCCTATTCCATCCCTCCTTGAAAGCACAGGGGCATGATGCCAATTTAACTAACCCTCTATAATCTTTCCATGAAGCAGCGGCAATGCTGAAAATACGAAGTTTAAATGAATGCACATAAAGTTCTTTCCTGTATGTAATGAGTAAGGAGTTTGCCTTAGGAGGTTGTTATGAGGTGGGATTATAAGAAACGAAAGGCTCCTATTGGTCAGATCCATGTAGCTATTTACAGTGAACAGCTTCCCAGACCTCTCACTAGCCAGGAAACCGCACTGATACCAGTGACATTCGGTGAGAATGGGAGAAGACGCAAACATAGCAGCTGCACGTGAGTAGAATAATATCCCTGTTAGCTTGTGCTTAATTAATGCAGGCATTATACATATATATAAATTGTGCTGACAAAATTGGTAGTCATTAGTGTCTCAAATATTTGGTGACAATGGGCTATACAGTCCTTTGTCCCCATATTACAATCTCATTCACATGGCTAAACTGTTCAAGTTGGGATAGCCATTCTGTAGACAGGAACATAACCTCCTTAAGTGTATTGATGCATCCATTTCCCACGTTTACTTATCTAAAAGAAGATCGGTGTGCCTTCAGCTTTGCCCAGAACATTCAGGGCATTCCCAGGACAGAAGCTCTCTCCATCACAGAGAGTATGTGCCCACACACAGAGCCGATTTTCAAAAATGTCCCTGTTCACATTCAACTGAGGTTCATCCTTGTCGTAGAACATGAATTCTAAGCATTTTCTATTCTGACTCACACTCTTGTGAAAGTAATTGCGAGACCTCCAGGGAAGCAGTGACACCAGACACCAACAAGTCTAGCTTTCACTGAAAATAACACATATTCATATGCAAAATTAACATCCATTCATCTCCAAATATCTGAGAGACCCCAAAACAATGTATGAGAGTAACTGTACCCTATTTACAAACCTGTATGCATGGTCTTGCTGTCTGAGCTATTTTATTTTAGCTATTTTAACAATTAAGGAGCTGGTGTAGAGGCAGCGGAAGCTTGGCTGACAGACTGAAGGAAGACGACTCCTCAGAAAGCAGCGGGATCAATCCTTTGAAATGGTGAAACATGTCATCTGCCGTGTTTCGGGAAGTCCGACGAGTCATCCTGATCAAACGTGGTAAATACAAAGGCGTGCTGTTCTGTCTCGACGAAAGAGAAAGCAATTTCCTATCGTGCCCGTGAGCATGCGGAGATGAGGCCATCCTCATCAGTAAAGTCCATCTCCAGACCAGATATTGCTGGGATTTGAGAATCGAGGTGGGCTGTTGTGGTTCCTCTCGTGAGAACATTTGAACACGAGCTGAATGTGATAAATCCAGAAAGGTAATCTCACTGGAACAAAATGAGCTGCTGTGTACCACAGCACAACACACAGAACCAGCACTGGGATTTTTCATAGTTACAGGACTTAAATACCTTTAACATGCGGAAATGTGATGTAAACAGGGTGAATTAAAGGAACACGTGATGAGTGTGGCTAATATGGTCAAGGGAGAAGACATTTAATTGTATGCAGCCCAATCCCTAAGATGGCATTTAAAGCTGAGAACACAGTGGAACAGAAAATGCTTTAACCAGAGATGCCATTTTAAACTAAAAAGCACACTAGAGGTCATTTAAAACTACACAGATCAGTCCCTAGCGGACAAAATATATTAAACTTAAACTAAATATATATATATATATATATATATATATATATATATATACTTTATAGCAACTTCTGGTACTTTGGTAATCCACATAGATTCAAGGCAAAATTAAACTGAAACCATAATGAATATTTCCTGTATTTACCATATTGTCTATGACATTTACTTCCATGTGGGAAAAGCAATTTAATCAGAAAGATAATGATGGAACTAAATGGCTAAATGTAAAATATTGTTTTTAAATGAAAGAGGATTATTAAAAACAAAAGTGAAATTGTAGTCTGCTTTTCTCTTGGGGCTATAAATGAGGGAGTTTTTTGGGAACATATTTAATGTTATGCTGCTATTTAACTAGTGGCCCTGAATTTCCCATAATTGTATACTCCTGTGTTCTATCTTAACCACACTGTGGTTACTCTCACACTTCATGCAAACAGGTCATGGGATACATCGTCTTAATAATAGTTGCTCTTTGCTTTATCATCATGCTATCATGTGAATGTTGGACCAATAAGAGTGTGATGTCATATTTTAAACAACATCCAACGATGCAGAGCAGTGGGTCACTAAAGCTCATCCTTTAATCCATTTTCATACCATTATTTTATCCTACCTCCTCGCTAGTCTTGCAGCAATAAGTCAAAAAGAAGAATGGATTATAGGGAACGCCAGGACTCTACTCCGCCCCTCCATAACAGTATATAGCTACCTCTGCCCAAACATAAAGGAGGATGAGCAGCAGATTGCTGAGTTACAGACTAACACTGCAAATGTCACACATTTTATGGGTTAGGGTATGTCTGGCATTTTCACTATTCCTACTTAAAATGCGAAACATTTTCTGAGCAGGACAACTGCTTCCTTCGAGAGAAGCAATCCTGGATATATTTTTTTGTGCTCTCCCCTTTCCCTTCCTTCTAAAATTTGAGTCAATGCTGTTGCGTTCAAAAAGAAAGCTAATGTGCGCACAATCAGTGTCTTTTGAATTCACAACATACTTCAAAGAACCGAAGAAACTCTGGAAATATCAATTACTGAAATACAAATCTGGATGGCAACTTCTCCTTAGTGGAGACAAAAAGAAGGAAACATGCAAGACCCATTAAAATACTGTCTGAGAACCAATTTCAGCAACTCAAAAGAGCCTAGAAACAGGACTGGTTGTATAGCAAACATAGAACAAATGGTGTGCATCTTAAGCAGGAAACCACAATACATACTATTTTCAATATTATCCAGACATTTCAATCCCAATTTCTAATGAACTGGTTGCCAGTATTTTCTGCCTGAGACACCCACCAAATTCTACACAAGATTCTCATCAGTAAACCAGACTGAAGTCTAAAAAAAAAAACAACAAACCCAGGTTATCTTATCAGGCCTTTTAGATAATGAGCAACAGTAAACCAATCTATAAATCATTCCTGCTTGTCTCCTTGAGGGAATATAGAAGTGTATACGTTTACACTGTCAATAAATCATTAGCTTGTTATGTATAAAGACACTTGCATCTTAATGAAGGACAGAGCAATAGGATCTGTTAGAAGTGCGGAAGAACAGCTGCAGAAACACATGCGGATTGTTATAAGGAAAGCAGCCCAGTGACACCAAGAAAAAAACCCTTTCCTTTGATTCCATTTTTCATCCCATCCCTTCTGTTCTTGCATTATCTCACCAATACTGCAGCCAAGGCTCCTGAAGCAGAAAAGGCTGTAGGATTGGGACTCTTTGGGAATGTTACACTCATCAAAAGTATATCAGAGTGAGATGTACCTACGATCTCCGCAAGAGATCAGTTTTATTATAACGTTTTGACTGACTCCTGAACAACTTTCACTGGGGGAAAAAAAAAGCCGTTTCCCTCCTTAAAATCGTATGTTTTCCAAAACCACTTATGCAGTACAGGGTCATTGTGAGCCTGGAGCGTATCTCAGGAAAGCTCAGGGCAGAAGGCAGGGAATATCCTGAATGGAGTGACAAACCATTGCAGGACACACACTATGGGATATTGAGAGACCCCAGCTCCGTTAAAGCACTTTTGACTATGGGAGGAAACTGGAGCACCCAAAAGAGACATACACAAACAAGGCCAGGGTATGCTAATTCCACATACAAAACCAGGAACAGACATTAAACCCACAACCCTAGAGATGTGAGGTCACCATGCCACCATTTAAGATTTCAGAGCTATGAATTATTTGTTCATTTTGTTCTTTGATATATTCCTCAGTGGTATCGGGCCTAGGAAGGTTCCGGAGTATGTTACTTAATAGGTATTATGCATATATATTAGAGCTTTGCAAAAATACAATTCTATTCAGCAAAGATGCAACAAAAATATTTTAGATTAGTGCAAATGTTACAGTATCACTAGCATCAAATGTCTTCAAGGAGCCTGTAACTCACCGACTTCTGCTAACAGCTACCTTTTGGGTATTTTGTCAACCTATATCATACGTATACCTTTTAGATTCTATGTCTTGGGGTGTTTATATCAGGGCTAAACTGCCTGCTGGTCACCTGTGTACTTCCTTTATACATTTATAGACATAGGTTACAAAAATGTCCTAAGCCAGTCCCAACTGGGGTCACATCCTACATAACGGTTCAGCCCATCTAGCACTATGGTTCACATGCTTATGCTGTATTGGTCCAATCAGTTACTTGATGGTTGAGATTTCTCATGATTTTATTAAACTTTGCGGTCAGACTTTACAGGTAGGCCACAGCAGACATGAATTACACCACCCTAGATGTTAAGCATGGTATCAATGACAGGTTTAAAATTCCATTTTAGAGCTCAAATTCTTTTTAGGGAAACATTTTTCCTGGATAATCTGAACAATTATTTCTTTGTTAAAGAGGCCAGATGCAGCTTTTTTCTTTTCAATATTCAGACTGTCAGTACACAAAGGCAGATCAGACAGACAGCTCCTTTAAGCATGATCAACTAGCAGCTGCATGCCATATCTGATAGCTTAGCAACTGGACCTTGTCAAAATATCCAGAAAAAGTGACGCTATTCTTAACTTAGCATCTGAAATACATGTCCCCGTGTACATGGTCCTACTTTTTAAATGAGCGAGGTAGCAAAAATTTACGTCATTTTAAATATCACGTCAAAACTTAACAGATATCAAACATGAGATAAGCTAGTTGTCAACCAGATTAACCTCTGATAAAAATTAAAGGAACAGAATCCGCACACCCATCAGTGACAAACTAATGAACTAAACGACTGATTCTTCCCCTGACACAAAAAGTGAAATGTTTCCTTTTATTGAGAGAAAAAAAAGACAAAAAAAAAAAAACTGATTAAAGGTAGTCTCAGTCAAAGAAGACTGAATAGACAGACAGTACATTCTTTTAAGCTTCTTTTTACATGAGAAAGGCTCTACAAAGTATCATAGGACAAGTAAATTGTACAAAAAAAAATTAAATGCAACATAAGTGCAACTGATTCAGAATGTATGGCAACACAACTCAGGAAAGACAATCACTATGCAACTTGAAGACAAATGTGTATATTTACATATAAATAGCTTGAATGGACAATTCAGCTTTTAAAAATATTCAAAAATAAATAAGTAATGCTACACGAGGTCATCCCAACCCGTTTTACAAAAGATGTGGCAACCACCAATCATAAAATGTTATTCATTATATTTTAAAATAATATAAGATTAGTCACAATTCTTCATGGCTAAACTGATCTGTGTTCTTGGTCATAAGTACAAACTCAAGAGCTTTATAAAAGCTGGCCATTCTCTATTCTACATTAAACTAGCAGCCTAAAGACGACAAAGGTGATGGTTCAATTATGATCCTTTATGAAAGACATATTATATTTGACTGTTAAATATTTCAGGGAATACATGAGCTTATATACGATTACAGTATCTAAACAAGAATCCTTCAATTTAAAAAGACAAAATGTAACTATATTTACAAGTTAACTTCAGTACCAGTCAAAGAAGGTTATTAGTAGTGCTAATTATGAAACAACTTGTTTAAAGACCTGTGGGATTTCGTTATATCAGGTGAGTCGTAGATCGACTGAATGTGTGGTACTTCCTCTCAAACAGGGAAGGAAGGTTGACCATGGATGGCGAATGGACAGCCTACAAAGGAAAATGGAAAGAGGATCAGTTCAGCAGCTGACAGCTTTAACAAAAAACTAATACACAAAATTCCTACACTAATAGGAAAGTTAAATGTATACCAGCTTGCATTTAACTTCATATGATCGATTTACCAAATGTCACCAAATATATAAAACTACCATTAATAAATGGGAAATTCAACTAAAATCTGATCACTTTGTATTTTAATATGCACTGGTTGATGCCTAAATAACGAAAATGAACGGAATGCATAATTTAAGATTCCGTGTTTGTATAAGAAAATCACATAGTGACTAACATTACGTCAGTATCATTTTGGGTCAAAGTGCCATCTAATGTGGCATCATCCCTTCAGCCCTGTGCTCTGCTGTAGTCAGAAGTCTTGAAATAAAGCCTTGATTACATGCATATGTAGGAACGACTTGAGATACACATAAAAGGCAATGAATAATGCATGGTGATTATGCAGCGTGCACAAGGTCACTCTGGTTTAAAATGTTTGCAGTTTTTGAACTTCATTATGTCTGTTTAGCTCAGTTACAAGCCTTAAAGGACGATGAATAAATGTCATCAATTTGGCTTTTCCTCCCCACATGCATCCTTACAGAATGCGAAGGTGACAATGCCCACAAAAGGTCATTTACTTTGCTCCTATGGTCTAAACTCCCAGGGACCCGGCAAAAGCATTCTTGTGAAGTGAATTCTGCTTTTACAGGATTGTGTGATATAACTATTCTTAGGGTCTTGAAATACTTCAGATAAAAACCAGTACAAATGACCGTAGAAAATAGCTTTCAAAGGCAAAGGGGCGATCTAGGGGCCCAGCCTCCACGACCTGAAACCAGACATACATCCACAGGGAGTACTGTGGTATCACAGTACTTTTCACTCATCTGTTTGAAGTCAGCGTGATTTAGCCAAGAATCAGACAGCAATATACAGTGATCCCCCCACCGATCGCGGAAGTAACGTTCCAGACCCATCAGCGATAGGTGAAAATCCACGACACAGAAAGATAAACGTTTTTTTTTATAATTTAAGCCTTAAAATACCCCTCCCACACGCTTTAACCAATTGTAAACTTATTAAAACACACTTTGTAAACACATATGATATGTGGATGTCGGGCAAAGGATATGAGTAACATAATTCACAAAAAAGTTTGCTCACGACAAATCGCACCACAAGCAAGGTACACGATACGCAAAGAGCTGTAATGTGTCTGGGGAAAATCCGTGATATAGCGGGTACGCGATAGCTGAACCGCGATATAGCGGGGGATCACTATACATCAGTGCACCCACCCTAAAGACGTGAAAATACTCTCCCCGTGCAGAACCCAAGGCACCAGTGTACACCATTCTACACGAGTGTGTTCCACAACCATTCCCAGACTAGGAGCAAGCGGCCAAAAGTGAGGCTCACGTCAGCTGTGGTGGCTATAGCATCGTTTCTTTGTGGAGGACAGTGCCAAGCTTTTGGGAGTAAAGCTGGAGCAGGTCCTCGGGAGCTCCAGCAGGAGGCGCTGCTGCTACTACTGCTAAGCCTGGGCTGGCGTGAGCACAGTGGGCCTGGCCCCACTGCCCTTGAGTGGACGTGCTGTCCGGGCTGCTAGGAGTGCGGCGGATACAGATGGGGACTCGCGGGCGGGGGTTATACTCCAGGGAGTAAGAGCGCTGCACGATGTTGCTCCGGGACGAACTAGTGAGACTAAACGTGGAGGTGGAGCGAGACATCTATAGCAGGGATGAGGGAGAGAGAGAGTTACCTGGCAGGAGGGAGAGACCCTCTGTCCCATGACAGCATAAGAGCCTTTTAGTGCAGGAACACCGTAAAAATTTACAATAGTGCTTTTTTTTTGACAGAGGGAAAAGACTGGCTTGTCCTATGACAGCAGCATAAAAGGCCTCAGTGGAATACTAAAAAAAAAACAAAAAAACAACTTACAATAGTTCTTTTGTAGCAATCTGTAAATGTTTAACCTCAGAGAAGTGGGTTTAGCACGGAACATGCATACATCTAAAGGTCTTCAAACCATGACTGAGAAAATCCCTAACTGTGATATAAAGTGACACGAAAGTACAACATAGGTACTTTATTGATCCCTGCGGCCCAACAGGGTAGTGTTTACATCCCCCATCTTTTTTCCCCATGAGATAAGAACATTTATGCACTGGTGAGACCTTGTGGTTCCTCAGACCCCCTGCATAGGTTGGGGTTCAGGCCCTTACTCAAGGGCCTAATGCTGATATGACTATTATGGCAGCCGTGAGATCTGAACCCACAACCTTCCAGAAACGAGCACAGTTCCTTAACCCGCTGTGGTTCTGCCCTTTCGCTAAAGCTAGTCCATCCAGACGACGAGAGAGGACATTCGGGTGGAGAGATAAGCAAAGGAGCAGCAGTTGCAGGTCCCAAGGCCCCCCCCCAATGGAGACCCCTGACAGGCGCCAGACCGATGGCAGTTTGCAGTCTCATTCATATCACACTTTTTACCACAGTCAATATATCATTATAACACAGACAGCTAACTATAAACACTGTGAATTAGCAAACACCCAGGCCTTTCATCAGACGGCGAACATTCAGTGGCACACGCATGCGTGAGCACACACAGGTCTTACAGACAGCGTAGAGGAGCCCCTCAGGCGGCCCCTGGCCTCTGGGGCCACAGCGGGACTCCTGTCATCTGGGGTACTGCTGGCCACAAAAGCCCTCTGTATCACTCGCCGGGGGGTCTTACTGAAGGAAAACGCCCTCGTTACCTGAAAGAGACACAAACCAGCATCTTAAAGCCCACACCACTGCAGTAGTGATACCACCGTCAAACTTACCCCTTTAAAAGTAATGGTAACACAAATAATACAGGATCACACTATTACTTATGTATTAATAACCACAAACTCAGTCTTAGTTACATACAGATCAAGTTCAAGTCCCTTTATTGGTACCCAAAGGTAAATTTTGTTTGCAGTACAGAGTCCACACACAAATCCAAATAGGAGAAACGCAAAAATCACATCACACATCACTCATTATACCACAATATGGGGTCCATCCCTAACAATAAACAGTAGAAACAGTACTCTCAGTAATAGATAAATAAAATTATAAAATCCTAACAATATAAATAGCTATAACTTATTCCTTAGTGTAATTGTTGCCAAAATAAAACTGTTTCTCATGTTAACGTGAGATCTCATGTTAATTCATCATTAATGAATCGTGACGCATTTTATCACATCAGTTACTATATTTGTTACCAAATGTTATTTCTGTGAACCTTTGTGACCTACTGAAGGAACAACTCATGAATAACACGTGACATACTGATCTCCTATTTGTCCATCATTAAATGAATCGTGAAGCATCATTTACCTCAAGCAGTTACTAAATTTTACTATATCTGTTAATTCTCGAAATCTTTCTGAACTACTAAAGGAACAAGTAACGAATAACTAGTGAAATTATTGCCGATGAACCTTTTCTTCTTTTATCTCAAGTAGCTGCTCTGTTCTTGATTTGTACTTCAGTAGTACTAAGCATTTGTGCTCCCTCAAGTAAAGTGTTACCCAAATGATTTATATTATTCGGTAACAGCTTTAATATAGAATTAAACAACAAACATTACATGATTAAACAACTATAATGTTTATTATTAATGTATATTACAGCTGTTAAGGGATGTTAAGGTATACATACATGATGTGTATGAATGTTTTATGAATACTTAATGAAAGTGCACTGAATGTTCTGTCAATGCAATATAAAAGCATTATGAAGGTGCAGTTAATGTAAAGCTTCACCTATTACTCTATATATAGATATTAGGATTTGGATTCCACGAAGGGTCGGGCACTTTGGCAGCTCCCGTACAAGCACACTTTACCTTCTTCGATGTTTTTTTGATGACCCTAGAAGCTCGACTCAACGTGCTGTCCATATCCTTCGTGTTTACTTGAACGGAGTCCGGGTGCGTGCACTGAATTAGATCTTCCTGTTTAAAATAGATAGAAATAAATAAATACAGCAAGCTTTTGCTGAGCTGCTGAAATGCAAAGGAGCGAAGCTCTGTTGTCTGGTTTTACAAGCACTGGGGGCTTGTTGGTATTCCAAGAGACGAGCCCATGGAGCAGACTGGGGGTTACAGGAGTCATACATTGCCACCGTGTGGAATCATGTAACTGATGCATATACTGTTCTATCCTCTTACTACGGTCCTTCCAAATTATCAAGAAAAATATGTAAGGCTGAGATAAGGATTTCCTCATTTAAACTCGGACCCCCCAAGAAAGAAATCCACAGCAGTGGGGGGAACAGATAAGCTTGCGAGTATCTAAAACATTAGGCTAATATATAATTCAGGCCTGTTTACATTCCCCTTCAGCACAAGCTAAGTATGATTTAAATGTACCAAAATTATGTGCATCTCACTATACTATTTCAGTATCAAAAGCACATGAACAGCATGTGAAGGAACAGCTATATAAAATAAGCCTTCCGGGACATTGCTCCTGATATCCTGAGTTGGGCCTGGCGTAAAAGGTCATGACCTCGTGCTTCCGCGGAGCCGCGACAGAAGGATAATCACCGCGTCGGCTTTGCAGATGGTGTTGGCCACGTGTCGACACAGGGTCTTCAACCAGGTTGACTTGACGGTGTCCTCGGCCACTAGCTGGAAGCTGAAGAGCAGGTTGTCCTGCTCGGTGGGGGGGTGCACCACCAGAGCGAAGGCGTTGTGGCAGTCTGTGCCGGGACAGACCGTGCAGCGTGGTCAGCATGGGGAGAGGGGCACAGTACTGCAGCATCACAAGAGCGAACCAGCACGTTCTGAGGAGAGCCATAAACACTGAGGTGCACACTGCAAGGGGTGGAGGCACATCTGCACGGCACGGTAACCGAACGCTATTACATAAAATATCTATATTTCCGCCATGACAAATTGCTTTTCTTTGGAGGTAGCTATAACGGCCTGCTCAATATTCAACCAAGACGCTACAGTCGCAGGTCTGTCAAGAAAATCTGAAAGTCATTCATCTCACCGTGTAATTAAATAATCCAGCTCAAGGCTGCAAATCCCTTTTTGTGGTTCCATCATTATTATTTATAAACAAACCTCAGCATCTTTATCAGTAAAAAGAAACAGCTTACAGAAGTCGGAGAGCAAAGCAAAATGTTTCTAAATTAGAGATTTTTTGATGAGAACACTGTATTACTGGAAGTTACTGGAAATGGCAAGAATAAAAACAGGGAACTGAAAATCTTATTTTAAACCTCAGAGGTTTTGTAGAGAAAATTATTATAGATAGGTCTTATTTCTTTGACTGTTACGGAAACATCTTTTAGTCTGTCCGTATTTCATCATTCTGAATAAAAACGGTTTTGTGGTCTAAGTGTATGTAACAGTGTAGCAGAGTGCGGTGGGGGAAAGGTCTTCACCATCAGTCTCCTGCAGGTCCAGAACCCTCCTGATCTGGGACAGAGGCATGAGAGTGATGTGTTTGAGCTGGGCAGGAGGGCGAGTTTGCCCGACGGGGCTCCTGAATGTGCTGATCACCTTGTGTCGCTTCCTGGCGATCTGCAAGCGAGAGGCAGCAGTGTGATCGGGCTCATCCGAATGCATGGCGTAGCAGGGGAATCCTGTAGGCTCTGGCAATCAATAGGGCCCTAATAAATGTAAACTGTCCCGATCATTAGCTGATCTCTGTCTGGTTCTGGCCCGGACACGACGTGTGACAGAATAGCGGGCGCGAGACGTGAAAGGCGAATACTGCGGAGTTAATGAGGATCAGGAGTGTGACGTCCACCTTTGCGGTACTCATTACCATGTGGGAGCCACACTCCTGAATCAGGAGCCCGAGAATTCGCATTCGACTCAACTCCACTCTAATGAAGCACTCCACTAATTAGGAAAAAGATAAGCCATGTCAGCAACTATAGATTGCACATAAATAATTCACACTTAACAGTGCTGCTCCCTGAATTTGCACTTTTAAGATTTTAAGCTCAAAGTCCAAGGTTTTTTTTCTTTTCCTTTAGAGGAACAACACAGGTGAGATTAAATCATTCCATCCTTGTCAGCATTTGAAGCAATATTAATACATTACACTAAAATAGAGAGCAGCATCTGAGGAACAGTTTCTATGGAGAAGGCGTGCTTACCTCAAGGCAATCATTGAAGAGAAACAAGGTAACATGCTCCCCTCGATCGCAGGGTTTGTCTCCCAAAGCAATGGTCTCTACTCTGTGGACGAGGCTCCGATGCGAGGACAACAGATTGGCCTGCAAAAAGCAACATTATTTTGTTTCATTCAAATATTGGATGCATCTTGATTCAGTGAATTAAACAATGCTGCTTCTACATCACAACATGTGACACTTATAAAACAAAAGCCATTAAATTCACCCAAAATCAGATCTATTTGGCTACAGTTTATCTATCAATAGAATCTGTCAAACAAGCTGGTAATGTTGCAACATGTTGTGTCAAGACACAAAGCAGTGCTGACGAATTATTAACGAACACACACATGGCGATATCGATGTTGAAACGATATACTGTGCAGTCCTAATGCATGCAAATCACATTTATGCTTGATTCATTCATGAAAGCTGCTGCAATACATACCCATATAACAACCTAAATTATCCACAAAACAGCTTACCATAGTAGAAAACATACTTACAGGACAGCCGTCAACTTCATAAACGACATCAAAAATCTGTTTTTGGCCTTCAGTCTTTCTCTTGTCTTCATTTATGTGACTAAACAAAATTAATGTTAAAAAGGCATTAATCTCACATAAATGGTCAGCCTAATTTTCTTTTACTGCGGGGCGGGGGGGCATTTTGCGGCTAGTTTAATGTCTCCAACCTTGGCTACTACAACTTACGTCATAACTTCCTTGAGTGATTCAATTGCCTTTTCCAAAGTGACTTTGTCTGGATTATCATCTGATGTGTGCTTCTTAATATCTGAAAGAAATGCACCACAAATGCATCAGAAAACATAATCCATCATCAACAGAATGCAGGTTCTCACTTCATGGACAGACATCAGCCAGGCTAAACCTCGAGTGCCCGCCTGGCCTTTCCTACCCCCTACGTCCGCTTACCGTTTAACAGGAGGGCCACGCTTGGCAGCCTCTGGACAGGGCGGATGAGAAGTTCCACCAGAGTCTGACGGCCACATTCAGGCTTTGTTTGGTTAATCTGATAACAAACGGTAATTCGGTAAGATCACAAGCAACCTGGTTGGTATCGGTCTCTCTCTCCCTCCAGATGGTACTGACCTTCAGGAAAGCATGAAACCTTGGCTTCTGCTTCTCACACCTCACAATGGTCTCTTTGCTCATCTCAAAGAAGTTGACAAATGGAGGGTATGCTTTCACCAAGTCTTTGGACTATTTTTGCAGGGGAAAAAAGAACAGGTATTACTTGCTGAAGGAACAGTGTGTACATTTACATACAAGCATACAATAGCTACACAGAGTTCATGAGAAGAATCCTTTATACTTACATATTTCAAAATAATGTCTCCAACACTTCTATTCTCAGACCAGTCCATCACAAGGTCTTCTAGGTCAGCCTATAAAAGACAATGGACCTCAAAAGATTCACTGGCAATGCCTATTTGATTGTTCCTCATTTGTCTTTGACATTAAGGTAGAAAGTAGGGATGGGCCGATCCACATTATTTCAGTTCTGATCCGATTCCGGATCATAACGATGCAGTTTCCGATACAATAGCTATTTTACTTTCATATTTTAATATAATACATATATATGTTTAGACTTTATATATTAATATTTTTCAACTAGTAAATAGATTAAAAAAAAATCTTTAATTAGGCTACTAGAAACATACGTAACGTACTGTCCCACTTCATTTGTACACCATGTTAAGCGTTTCTGAGGCATTTGCAGTTCAATATGAATCCAGGAGATTATACGCAAGTGGCGAATGCTTTAAATGCCCCATACTTTTTCTCCCACTGGCAACAGTGGCACTTCGTTGCGATGGCAGCCCCTCGTGTATCACAAGCAGTAGCAACACAGCCCAAGCTAGCGACTCCCAAATCATACATTGTTTTTTTCATATTAATCGCGTTGTCCCGCATTTTCCACTAAATGCTACTCACACCTCTCAAAACTTTGTTTTTGCAAAGACTGCAAAATCGCTGTGCTACTAGTTCCTCCTACTGCAAAGCGTATGCGTATGACGTCACAGTAAGCAGAAGTCACTGCGCTCACACCCCCCCGAGTGGCAAAAAGGCTGAGAGGCAGCCATAGCGTTTAGCATAAATGCCGCAAAAAATCTAAAATGAGAAAGAGCTGTAGTGCGTTTGGTTGTACAAATAGATTTAACACGAAATAGGAGATATCTTTTTAGAGACTGTAACAACCAAAATAACTGAGTATCGGACGTTGATCGGTCACGTATGGCCAATATCCGATCCATCAAGTAGGTCTGGATCAGCGCCGATCCCGACCCGAATATCGGATCAGTGCATTTCTAGTAGAAAGTACCAACCTTTATACTGGTATGCACTTCATATATATCGGGGATACTGCCAAAGATGGTCTTTATCTCTTCCTGGGCCAAAATTGGACCTCCAACTTGACCCTCTTTTTCCAGGGGATGTTTAAACAGCTGGGGGAAAAAGGTTTCAAGCACATGAAATAACATTAATATTTAAAAGCCACTCCTCATTCCATTTGCCAGGTTATGCATCTTGGGAAATGTACTCCAATAGGGCACGTTCTTTAACTGGAGTATTTCAGCCCAACAAGCCAAAACACAGCAGATCATAAAACAGAGGAGATGTTCACAAAGACTGTGATATGGATGCCTCAACCACCAATGATCAAAACCACAAAGTGGAAGCCACTTGGATGAATTCTGGAAGCTGTACCCATCCTCCAACCCACTGGCCAAAGCCCCCAGCGTGACAGCTACTCTTCCAGGACCCCCACCGTATATTTATTTTTACGTCTTCCTCGCCAGCTCCGTGAGCCCCACACTGGCACACCGACCTGTAAGACTGTAGCCAGGATATCCACATAGTTGCTCTCCGTTTGGTACAGCTCCTTGGAAACCTGCCATCTTGCAGACTGCTTCAGGGACGTAGAGGCGGAGCCTTTTGAAGGCTTGGAGTTTTCTGCCAACCGATCATCAAATCAAGCAATGTGAATAAATAGCGTAGCATTACCCCTCCCCCCCACCCCCGAGAGCCGATACTTAGAAGAGCACAGCAGTCTCCTCTTAGCAGAACCGCATGTCATTCCAGTTGCCAGGGCACACGCCTTACACAGGTGCGCATTTGTATTAAACGTACAACCTACGTGAGGTTTGTATCCTCAGCTAGTCCACCTGTCACACTGCAGGGAAAGCCTGACTATTGAGTAATCTGACAGTCTCATGCTCCCGTCTCCTAGGGACAATTCAGACAGTGCGGCACTGCTCTGTTGAAGCAGGGGCATGTCTGAGTGGGTACATATTTACTTAGAGCGACACAAGGGGGCTGTTGAATACATCCAACACTGTTTCCGATAAAAGTAATATTTCTCCCCCCCCTTTAGATGGTCCACTGATGTTAAGACTTTGGGTGACACCCTTTTAGTTTATTTAATCTGAGAATATGTGATGGGAAGCAGCAAATTCGAAGTGACCTGGAGAGACACACCATACTCACCTCACGCCTTAATAGGAAGCCCTCATGGCAAAAATAAAAACCCTGCCTGGTGATACCGTGGTTTTTTTCTGACAGACAGCTGTCAGACTTTGATGCACTAGCAGGACAATATGTCCGCTCTCTCTCTAATCTGCTCTTGCGCTCTCAGGTGTTCCTCCTCGCTTCGTGCGGGATCACATGTCCTGTCCTGTCCTGCACCTGCCATCTACGCTCTGCTATAATGCCTCCATCGGGCGGAATTCTTGCTCTCAATTTTTAGCTGTGACTATCGACAGTGACAGGCTACATGTGAAGCAGACTGGTGAGTATTACCCATCGGAGATTTCGTGCTATCAAATTTGACAAGGATCAAGTCAAAATTCTGTGGGCATATGGGGTACCTAGGTCATATGTTCGTCCTGTTGTACCCTCACCTGACATGGCCCTGCATGTCTCTGGGGTGTTGGAGATGTCCAGCAGAGAGCCCATGGACAGGGAGTGCTCTGCAGACGGCCTCTTGCGGGGCGGTAAGGGCGAGATCTCGGACTCCTTAGCCAGCTGGGCGAGGGCGTCTTTCAGGCGACGTCTCTTGCGGTTGCTGTTGGGCGTGTTGAGGGACAGCAAGGACACCGTTTTCTTCATGACGGGACTCTCAGGCTGATGTACAAACCAACAAGAGACCAATTAATTTCCTGCCCTCAGGGGAAACATTTAGTCCAAGTACTGTTAAACTATTACACAATTTATAAAAACTAGGACATTGAGCATCTCACACAGTATCAATGCTGGCTCCACAAGTGTCTACACACAATGTAACAAAGATGGAATCGCTGAATCAGAGCCAAGGAGGGCACAATATTCACATCCTAACAAGTGCATTAAAAAGTAACATACCTTCTCATAGAAATACATGGATTCCTCTGCTCTGGCATCCATCTGTATGCTTCCCCAGAACCACTTCAATAAGGAGACTTACATCAGTGAAGAAGTCAGCTCATTAAAAATCACCAAGTTTATATTGGCTTATATTTAACCTAAGTTACTGATAATGTAAACACCAAAACAGATGAACATTCTCATCCGAGAAAGGCGATTCTTGGACAGGCAAACTCATTTCTATATAAATCCTGGCAGGTATTTCAGAGAAACTAAGTATCACTAAGAACAAGCACAATATGTGCCAAAGCAATTCAGAGCATTTACCTCCTGTTTCACAACACATAATTTTTTTGATGGCAGAACTGGCAGATCCTTGATTGAGTTCTCCTCCACGACCATGTGAGTACAATTTTCATCCCCAACCTCCAAGTAACGGCCCCCTTTAAGGACAGATGGGGAGTCAGTTCGAAAACGGACACAAAACTCACGATGTTAAACTAAAAGGTCACGTTCTATCAGGTCTTTGTGAAAATTAGGTACTTGGCATGCTGTGACAGATGCAGATTCAACAGACATGAATCAAAACAGAATAAAATGCACGCGTTAATACCATATTTTAGTGTCATCTCCTCCATACTCTTCTTCTCCTCCTCAGAAAAACCCAAGAAGCTCAGCACACAGTCTTGAAAAGGTGAGACCTTGAACTCAGTGCGGAAATGCTCATCTCCTGCATTGAAATGCCTATAAAAAAAAACACAATGAAAAAAATAAACAAAACAAAAACAACATGTAAAAATACAATAATCCAAAAAAAAAAAAAAAAGGCTGCAGGTTTTATAATCCTTGAAGTTGAAGGTGGTCAGTCCCAAGTAACAAAGCTGAGCTGCTCTCATGCGATACTTACACCTCATGTCTCCGTTCCCAGGCCTGGTAGATCCAACCTGGGGTTAGGATCGGTGTCCCCATGCACACAGCCAGCTGCCACAGACAGGAACAGTACGCCACACCAGTCAGAGGAGAATGCTCCTTTCACTTTTTCTCGACTACTCGGAATAACACTAAATTGCCAATTCTCCAGTAAATATTGTAATCTGCACGTAAAGACCTCCCATAAATACACACCCTGTACTTCTCTCCATGGGTCGAGTTTGCGATGAGGTGAGTGACTTTGGAACTGAAATCCTTGCGGATGGTGCCTCCCATATGGTGAACGAGGTTGACCAGATGTACCTGCAAAAACGTAGTACAGATTCTTGCGTACTTACGGCTGATTTATACGTTTGCGCAGAATCTACGCCCCACGTAGCAGTATAGCTGCGTAACTTGCGCCATTGTCTGATGCGTGCCTCCGCAGAAATGTAACTACAGACATCAGCATAAGCTAAGTGGTTACGTATGGAGTACAGTCTATGCAGACGTATTAATCAGCATTAAGAGCGACAGGGAACCGGAGTAAGTCACACTGTCGTTACTTACGACTTCTTCTTTCCTGCGGAAGCCAGTGAAGCACAGTGTCAGATTCATCATGGTGGTAGAAAATATCGGGCGTGAGGAGAACATCAAGGGCTGGGGAACGAGAGGCAACTAATGATATTTTTGTATATCATCTCCTTGTACCCTGTTTCTCATCATCACACTCAGAATCATCATATAATCCATGGTAAAATACTCAACTTATAGGAACCATTCATGAATGCAGATCTAAAACTACACAAAGTGAAACATAAAAGAGAAAGAGCACCCAAGTATAACACACCTCCTTCCTCTGAGCACAGTGCAGCACGACTGGCGGACCAACAATTCTGTTGTCATTTTTATACAGGTAACTGTAATCTGGAGACTTAAAATCGGCCAACACGAAAACGGTCTCAAACTCAGCATTTTCACCATCTCCAAACTCCCTCACGTCATCCGTCTTTACACAAGGCATGTTGATATCCTGTATGAGAATGAGAGAAATCCTTCTGTTAAACAAGAGCAGGTGATACTCATGAATTTCAATAGATAGAAAGAATTCATTTAAAAAAAAATAATCACACATGCAATGATGGAGGAGAAAGAGCATTATGCCAGTAGCAAAGAGTATTTACTCATGAAACCAAAAATACAATTTCACAATTTGGAAAAGGAAACAAAAAACTCACAGGAAGAAAACAGTGACAAGTGATAACAGACAGATTACCACAAAGGACAAATTTAACACATTTGAAGAAATAAGCCCCAGTTTTGTGACGCAAGCAGCAGACCAGTAGTGTGTTAAACGACATCACTTGACAAACTCATCTCCAGGTGTTAAGGGAAACTTGCCTTCAAAGGTGATGTCCCACAGATTTCCACAACCACCATTTTTTCCCTTTTTTGAATCTTCCATGCAAAGTGTTAAGTGATGAAATGGGATTTAAGCATGCAATGCTCCAATTCAGACATACCATATTGACTACAGATTTTATCAACTTCTCGCCAGACTCATTGCCTGGTTCACCTTCTTTAATCTTTACCACTGGGACTTCCATTATTTTGATGGCCTGTGAAAATGAAGGGCTGACATAACCTACAGCACTGGGCTGGCATTCACAGTTCGCAGTGCCTTCAGTGCAATACAGAAACAAAAAAATGGCCAGAAACCGTCATCCTGAGTTTTGTTAATTAATACGGGTGACAGCAAAAAAAAAAACATTGTGTTGAATTTTGCTCTCTGAGCTAGTCAGTGGTACTGCTGCAGAATCGGGGGGAAAGATAGTCTTTATGAGAAGCTTAAGGCCCTCAAATATGTTTTAATTTATGGGTTAAGAACAGCATTGTTCCTCTTTCCCATCCATCAGACCCTCCAGTGCATCATTACTGTATCACTGTCTCTAGGTTTACAAGGGTCAATAATTCACACAAAAAAAACATAAATCTTTTCAATATCTAGCTGATGAGTCTCTCTGGCTATTATACATAATCTTCTGACATAAAAGAGCTAAAGAGAGTTAAATTCACACTGGTCCATTTCCGTTCTCTTATCTCCAAAACAAAAAATGAAAATTAAATCAAATCTGTCCAGCACAATATTATATTCAGTGTTGGAGGGCAAAAGTAAAATTGCATATTGGTGCTGAACTGCCAGGTAATACTCAGATAATACAGCGACATCAATTGCCTGTCTCTTTTACTTCTGTCAATCTGTCTTCAATAACCCAGTACTTAACTTGCTGACATACACAATTTTCAAACAAATCCTCAGAGTTTTCTGACATCATCATTTGCAGCAGGTCTAATACAATGTCAAAATCCTTTCATGACCCCATCCTACAAAGGAAGAGCCATTTTAGCACCTCTTCACCATTCTGCACACCACTCAAAAATGGTGTGACAGCAGTAAAGACCTGCTGGCCAAACACAGGTGACTACAATTATTACCTTCACTGCTTGCAGAAGTTCATCACTGTTGCCTGTATCTCCCACAAGTACAACTCTGGTTTCAATATGAGGCAGCACATCTGTTAGACAATTGAAATGAAGATTTTGTCATTTCTGACATGACAGCAAGCAACTGGGCTGACGTCACATACCACACATCCTCTGGTGCAGCCCACCAAATAGCTGAATCGTTACTCCGACAAATCATGCGAGATACAGGCAGTAATTACCTTTGGCGTCCTCTGCAGATAGGCCAAGAAATACATGATCCCTCGAGAGCTCAGCCATCCTGGAGTCATACACACTGGAATCCACCAGCAAACTGCGGGTTGTCCCCAGTGTCTCTGTGCTACTGTCAGCCATGGCCTTGGGACAAGTCCAGTAACCTGCTCTTATAGGGTGGGGTACACTAGTTACTAGAAACAGGTCCAGGAAACAAATATCTATGCTCCAAAGTCTGATACTACAAAAATAATTCAATGTTTAAAATGTTTTGATCCATTCAAAACTAATAGATTACAAATTAGAAACATGTATTTAAAAGTTATGCCTTATATAAAGCTAAATCAAATCAGAAACTTACACCGAGCTTTCAATTGATTACATTTTGATACATGAAAACTGCACTTAATCTGTATTCATATAGACTGGCTTTTTGTATAGCGCATGCTCGGTGCTATCAACGGACATAAATCGGATAGACAAGCCAGTAATCTATAACGAAAAAGCTAAACTTGCCCTCATACCTATCAACATCCCGTAATACCGAATACGTCTGATTATCAGTGCAGTTGCTTAAAAGGTTACAGTGCCAACAAAATACACCGATTAGGGGAATGGCTGCCAAGTAACTAACAGTTGAAAGAGGTAGTCAGTAGGTTATCAGAACAGAACTAATGAACAAGTGTCCGGTGAAGTCGACAATACTCGCCAATCAGGATAGGCTGTTGGGTTAATCAGAAGTTGAAATGCTAGCCCTCTTTTCGTTTTGCAATACCAATAATAAAGTAACTCATACGTTTAAAAAGAATAAATGAATATGTATGAAGGTTAAACTCACCAGCGGCAATTGTTTAAATGCACTCTTCCCCAGGACAGCAAAACCACTGCTAGACTTTAGCAACTAACGTTACCTACAGTAGGCACTTGTTAGCCAAGTAAACACCAGAGACACTTTCTTTTTTAGCCAAAATGATAAGAAATATTACAAGAAAGATGTCAAGAAACGTTTCAATTAAGACTCGGTTTAAAAAGCAACCGCGACATATATGCATTTGGAGTTTTTGTAACTAGCTAAAACTACACCATATTATTGTCCGATGCCTTAGCACTACCACCTTCCCTAACATAAATTCAAAATTCAAGACGCTCACGATAGGCGGCCGCTGATTGGTCGAGACGGTCAGCATGGCGGAAGCTTGCTAAAGCGGGACGCTGATTGGCTCGTCTCTTCAAACTGAAACGATGACGTGTTTGTCTGGCTGTTTGAAATTAACTTGCGGCGCTGTGTGGTGTGTGATCACATTGAATGCTTGTTGTTAGGGGGTTTTTGTATTTTGTATGGATTATGAGCGGTTTTCAGTTTCATTCTTTATTAACTTTAGATCTGTAAAGTCAGCATGTCTTTTAGATAACAACAACCATGAATATGATCTCAGCTGTATCTTTACCGGTTTAGAAAAATATCGTACGCTTTCGTAGATATATCTGGACAAGGCATCAATAATAGAGTTTAATATTATTGTTAACATGATTAAAACCTCAGCGGTTACTGACAAAAGGAGACGCAAAAACTGGTATTAATAAAACGTGTATTTCCTTGCATGTTTCAAAATGTACAGAAAAAAAATAATTTACATGTTTTTTTCACTGAGTTTTCGTTAAAAATCAGTCTAAACAGTCAGACAAAGTTCACGGAGGGCTGAATATACGGTGGGTCTACTTTGACCTGTGCTTTTAAAATTTTACTTCAGTAATATATTTAATTTGACTCCCAGAATAGTTGTATGAAATCTGAATGGGTATGAAATCCTTCTAAGGAATTGTAGGTATACATGAATGCCAGTTATTAAATTAAATATGGAACAATTGATTAAATTGGGGTAGCATATTTCCAGCCCACTGGGAAATTTTTGGCACAAGTGGTCTGATATTAGGTACATTGCAATTTTACTTACACTTATAATGATAGACCTGGTAAAAGATTTAATGAAACAAAGTAGACTGCACTCTTCCTCAGTACGAATTTGAAATCAAGTTCACAAAAAAATCATTTATGTAACTGTTTTCATGTGTGCATTATAATCTATCAGTCATTTGTTATGATAAGGAAAACTTACCTTCCACCAAAATGTCAAAAGTAAATCTCAGAAACATTGTTTGCAGAACAAGAGCAAGATTGAGCAACAAATTCTGTAATTGTTTTGTCTGTGTTCTGGCATTCTGTGCTAATAAGTATACCTGCAGCGATTTTTAATATGTATAGTAATTTCTTACTGTGGTGTTCATCTTTATCATGCCTTAAGGAAAATGTCTTTTCTTTTTTAAGAGAACATTCATTATAAAATACAGCATACAAAACGACAAGGTACATTTAAAGTAAATGCCCACTCTTAAAAAGGTAACCAGTGATTTTTTTGTTGTTGAACACAGGATGAACAGTATTTCTTTGAACATTGAACTTGAAAACATGTATTCCTTAACTGTTATCAGACAATATATGCATATCAATGTAATACAGTATCTTGATTATTGAATATTTATTATGTGCCATAATCATTGTTTAAAGACACGTTCAAACCTCTGTATGTTCAAAGACTTAGAAACCTTGAAACACACTACTAGGAGAGAGTGTGACAGCAGTTTCAGAACAATGTTGAGCCTCTCCATGCATCAGTTCTGCTGGAACAGACATCTGCTCTCTTCACTTTTAACAATGCCTTCATCCTGTCTAATTACAGTATATTCCGTTTGACGTTGATGAGTGCAGTTCAACTGGGGGCTTGCGTGGCAAAGGCACGGCGACATTGCTTGTGAAAGCATAAAGCACCAGTTCGGTTCATTGGTTGTTTTCTAGGGGATGCGGCAGCCTAGTGTGCTCTGATCACGGCAGGAGGTCAAGCAGAGTTTGGAGGAATCACTCGCACTGCAGCAGCTCGGATCAGAGCGTGGCCTGATGCAGAACCTCAGGAGAGGTCACGCGACAATGACCTTCCACACCGCAGGTCAGAATGGAAGGCATCTCATATAATCTCCAAGTGCATGCCACAATACAGTCATAAGCAGATGTATAAATGTGTCCGTAATGTTTTTTCTTCCAGTCCCTGGATGCATTCTCCTATGTCAACGTTGATGTTAATACATTATTGAGGATATCTGAAAGGCAGGGGGATGGAAGGTCCGTTAATCAAACATTTTCATGACTCCCAGCTAGTACCAACTTTTAATTACTGACAGCCCAGGCAAAATATTTTGGTCATTGTAGTGAAAGAATTCATTACCAGAGGGTAGAATACAACACAAGCTGTGGAATAGCTGCAGGACTCAAATGATGCTTTTGAATCTGCATCGGTTTCATTCTGTGTTATAAAGGTACAACAGCTCTAAGGTAAAATGATGTTCACAAACAACAATTAGTAATGTTATGGCGAAACTGTTAAATTTGTTCCTTTTCAGCTCTCAAAAAGTATGATTCTAATACAATATGACCACCCTGTGGCACTTTTTGTTGTCCACAATGGAAAAATTAGCAGTTAGCAGAAGTGACTGTGAATATGAACTTCTGCTGTCTGTGATCCAGACAACCAGCCATTAATTCTTTATTAGGAAGACATGAAAATATGAATGTATGTTCATGACAGCGCTACATGGCTATAGATCAGAATGCAGACCTTCTGGGAAGACATTACAAAACCGCAAGACCAAAAGACTCTCTCTTAAATTCATGATCCGCATTTCTAAGATCAGCAATCTTGTCAAATCCTGAATACAGTTGCTCTCACCTACATATGTGTCTGCGTGTCATGGAGAGTAAGATTGGGTAGGCGAGAAGAGAATTTCCCCACAGGGATCAATAAAGTATCATTATAATTGTTCTGCCTTAATTTTTATCCCATATCTCACCTTAAAAGTATTATTTGGATTTTAATTGAATCAGAATACTAATGTTATGAATTGAAACTGGTCAAAGCATGCAATTTAAAATCAATGATAAATGAAAAAACACCTAAATAAATACAACCCCATGCATTTCCAAAAAGGTTGGCATACTGTGCAAAGTATAAATAAAAACAATGCAGTCATTTGGAAATCATATAAACCCATATTTAATTGAAAATAGAACAAAGACAACATGTCAAATGCTGAAAAAGGGAAATTTTACTGTTTTGTGACATATATATATATATATATATTCAACTTGATTTGATACCAGCAACATGTTTCAAAAAAAGTTGGGACAGGGGCAACAAAAGACTGGAAAAGCTGTGTGATGCTAAAACAAAATATGATTGAATATCTCATAACTAATTAAGTAAATCGGCAACAGGTCAGTAAGATGATTGGGTATAAAAAGAGCCCCCCAAAGAGGCAGAGTCTCGGTGTAGTGAAGATGGGGAGACGTTTATTACTCTGAGAGACTGTGTGGGCAAATAATGCAAGGATTGAATAATAATGTTCATCAACCTAATATTACAAAGAATTTGGGAATTTCATCATCTACGGTACATAATATCATTAAAAGATTCATATAATCTGGAGAAAGAGACAAGGCCAAAAACCAGTATCGGATAGCCATGATCTTCAAGTCCTCAGGCAGCACTGCATTAAAAACAGACACAATTCTATAGTGGAAATCACTGCATGGATTCAGGAACACTTCCTGAAAACCAATGTATGTGAATACAGTTTGTCGCTGCATCCACACATGCAGGATGAAACTCTACAATGCGGAGAAGAAACCATATCTAAACATGATTTAGAAATGCCGTTGACTTCTCTGAGCCCAAGCTCATTTATGATGGACTGAGGCAAAATGGGAAACTGTCCTGTGGTCTGACAAATGAAAATTTCAAATTCATTTTGGAAATCACGGATGCTGTATCCTTTGGGCTAAAGAGGAGAGGGACCATTCAGCTGGTTATCAGTGAATCATTCAAAAGCCAGCATCCGTGATGGTATGGGGGTACATTAGTGCCCATGGCTTGGGTACCTTGCACATCTGGGAAGGCATTATTAATTTTGAACGATATATACAGGTTTTGGAGCAACATAACAGCCATCTAGACAACATCTTTTTCAGAGAAATCCTTGAATATTTCAGTAAGACAGTGCCAAACCACATTCTGCGCATATTACAGCAGCATGGCTCAATCCTTAGTAGAAGAGTCTGGGTGCTACACTGGCCTGCCTGCAGTCCAGACCTGTCACCCATTAGAAACATTTGGAACGTCATGAACAAAAACTATGTCAAAGGAGACCCTGAACTGTTGAGCAGTTGAAATCCTCTATCAAGCAAGAATGGGAAAACATTTCACTTTCAAAACTGCAGCAACTGGTTTCCTCCCAAACGTCTACAGAGTGTCGTTAAAAGAAGAGGTGCAGTAATACAACACACTGGTCAACATGCCCCTGACTTTTTTGAAACGTGTTGCTGGCATCAAATTCAAATTGACCATATACTTGTTTTAAAACAATACTTTCTCAATTTCAACAATTGATTTATTGTCTTTGTTCTATTTTCAATTAAATATGGGTTTATATGATTTGTAAATCAATGCATTCTGTTTTTCTTTACATTTTACACAGTGTCCCAACTTTTTTGGAAACGGGGTTGTAAATATGCAATAAAAACAACTCTCTAGAATACCTTTTCTGCATGTCCTCAGTAAATAACTAACATACAGAATACATTCCAAATGAGTTTGATCATATGACATATGCATTTGTCTCATTTTGCACTTCAGTAGCCAAACCAAATGATAATTTACATGATATTATACTGTCAGAAAAAAGGGTACAGCCTTGCTACAGTTTTGCTCCCCAAGGTACATTATCGTACCACCAATGGTACAAAAACATTCCTCAGAGTCCATTTCTGTACCTTAAATTAGACTAAAAGGTATATTTACCTACAGCTAGGGTACATGTGGCAGATCCATTAGGGTACAGCCCCAGTGACAAGTAATTGCATCCTCAAAGGTACAAATTGGTATCTTTTTTCTGACGGCGTATGGACTTGGAAGTCCCCATTTTCTTGCAAGGAATATCAATGTAGTTATTGTCATTTGTTTTTTTTGACTGTTCACTCATTGCTGGTTGGGCATGTTTATTAGGCACTCTGTTACTTGAAAATAATCAAACAAGCACACCCAAACAAAAGCTTTCCTGTATCTTGGGAAAAGGCTCAGCATAAAACTTTAGGCAGTCTTTCCCCACTACTCCACAGCTGGGCACTTGTTTTCACAGTATAAATCATTTTATTATATACAGTAACAATCCAGCCCTTTGTGGAACGTTGTCAACATAAACTGGTTTTGCCAAAGACAAATTTTTATAATATATAAAGTGCATTACAGGCACAATGTATATCATGCTCACCATAAATATAAATTTTTAAAAGAAAATCAATAATTCTATTTTTTTCTTGCTAGCATTCTAATTAGATAGTCAGACAAACTGTAAAGTATGGGAACAGTATGGTATATATCTTGTATTTTCATCAAAAGAATGTGGCTCAATGATTTGGGGGAAAAAAGTATGTTGTAAAAAAGTTTGCTTTCTTTATGTATCATCAGCTTGAAAATGTGTCATAAAGCTGTGTAGACAGCCAATGTGCTCAGTGCGACGAATAAACGCTGAATGCGCCATCCTTCTTCGCTGGCGAATCCCTGGGGCCTGTGTTTTTATACTGCTTAGTGAATAGGATGTGTGGTCTGTACAAAGCTGGAATGAATGAGTCCGTCTTGCCATTACTCACCAATGCCCATTTTCAGCTTCTTCTAGAAAATGCTCTAAATCTCCCGACTCCATAGATAGATCTGGCGCTCTTTTCTCATCATACGTCAGTTGAACTGGAAACTGATCATGATCCCCCTAACAGGTAGGAAAAAGTGAAGAGAATACAGCATGGAGTGATTTAAAGACAAAGAGGCTCTGGTCTGTTTTCCCTCCCTTGAGATCTAAAATCATCCATCTCCACCACTAATGTTGTGGATTCCTAGGGTTGCACTTCCATTAAAACTGATTCTAGGCTCTCTCATATATCAAAGTGATTATAATTAAAGACAAAATCCTGTCCAGTGAATTGCTCAGTATACCCATGCCAGCTTAAGTCTTTTAAATGTCAAGTAGTCACTCTGTATTAACTGGGACCAGCAGTGGTGTGAAATCATTAATAGGAAAGTCTTTTCAAGGGGATTCGGGTGGCTAAATGAGATGAAGGCAGAAAAATGGTGAATATACCTGTCAAGTTTTATTTAAGATAACTCACATTTTTATTATGAGATTCCTCCTCTGGCTCTGAGGAGTTTGAAAGTTCCTCAGCACTAGAAAGAATGGTTTCAAAGTCTTCAGTGTCCATTGAGGGTAAACACCTATGATTCCACCCTAAAACAATCACAGCAACACCTGTAAAGTTTGTCTTAGTAAAAAAAGATAAATTAAAGATCCTTGCCTGCGGTAGGTAGACATTCTTAATTGTTTTGTTTGTTTACATGACCGTAAAGCTAATTCTGGGAGCATATAATGCAGAAGCATATGTAATATGCAGAGCTTGCTTCGGCAATGACGAGAACTACATGATGCAGGAATAAATAAAAAGTGGAGGTGGGTTTCACAAAGAAATGGGGGGGCAGGACAAAAACAGAATACAGCTGTTTCAGTTTCCCATCTTGGGTATGAAAAGGTATCCGGCTGCAGGGTCGGGGAGTGTTTTTTGGGGCCAAGAGAAAATGCAACTCAGGAACTAAAAATCCAGACCAAGATTTTGTTTCAACACCCCAGTTGAGTTATCTTTGACTGTGACTTTGTATATTCAACTTATTGGTTGAAACAAAACATTGGTCTGGATTTGTACTTTCTAGACCTGAACTTTCCACCTCTGCTCAGGACTGGTAATAAGACACAGGTATAGGGAATGAATGAGTTCATCAGCCAACCACGGGATGTACGCCATACTACAAAAATAAGACTCGATGATGAGAACCCTGACCTCCAAGGGGAAAAAGGAACACATTTGCTGTTTCTGTCTCAGATTACCTGTTTGAGATGTGGATCTAGGTACCCTTGAATTCGAATCTACAGCACTATTACGCTTGCTTTCTGCTGCCATTGTCCCCTTTAAAGTGTCTAAGAGGAAAAATAAATGACTCACTTTGCTGACAATTGTTAAGTTAAATTTAAAATTCTGGCAAAAACACACAGATGCATAGAATATAGAAGCATGCCCACTTATGCCACATTGTGCGAGTTTAGTTAGGAGATATAAAAGCACTTTCAACTTCCGCATATCCAATATACACTCACGTCATGCATGACATAGCAAAATATAAAAACACACCATTGCCCAGATACCACCATTAATCACAAAGACATGATCATGCAAACATGGCCATGAAGTACAGTATATATACCTTCATATCCCAGTGGTGTGGGATCACTCTTAATTTCATGTCTCTTGGATTTAAGGTTACCAGACAGTGAACCTGCATGAAGTAATGCATTCATGTAAAAGAGTAGGGAAAATTGAAGAATGGGTTATGTTAGGTTAGCGAACATTTTAATTGAAAATCCTTAAGAACACACTAGTAATTTGCCATTACTTCTTACAAGTTACTGAAATGTTTGACAGGATGAGAGAGTTCAAGGAAAACAATAAAGCATCTGAATAAAGTGATTCTCATTAAAATTCCAGCAACTGCACATGCAATTTGGCTGTGAATGTCATCGTGCATTCCAAATGTCAGCTCATCAAAATTCACAGCTCCTTCTTCAACTAAGGTATTTACTGTTAAATTCCATGGTCAATTTTTTTTTTCCGATTGTAGAAAGATTTTTTTTTTTTTCATCGTTTCCATTTAATGAATTTTTAAAAGGTGTTAAATGTGGTTTGCTTTGATGGAGAACAAATATAAAAAAAATTCACAAAACCTTTTTTTTTTCCTTCTAACAAACCATTTATGTCTTAGAAGCTAAAAAAAGAAAGTGTCTAAAAGAAGAAAGGGGTCGGGTTGCAGGCAATCAGGTACCTTTTGTGCGCCTAGTAGCAGAGGCACTGATAGAGGAAGCTAAAGAGAAGCGTCGTGTCACATCGACCTCTTTAACTTGAGGTTCTAAAGTAAAAGCAGGGTTAGGGTTAGTAATTAGTCAATGTTATACGTACATGAGAGGAGTTACAGTGGCACAAACACCCCCAGTCAAAGACATACATTCGTTCTGGCTAACACATCTTTTGAAGAAACTGACTTTTGATATTCGCAAGAGCTGGTAAAATTCACTTATCACATACCCAGTTGTCTTATTTTCCAAGCAAACCACAAGGAGCCATACCAGAGGAAGAGCTCTCTTGTCATCTCTTGCAGGAAACTGACAATGAGGGAGATGCTAACTTAACCAGTGGCACTGCTGATGGAGATGATGGAGATGCTAACTTAACCAGTGGCACTCCTGATGGAGATGCTAACTTAACCAGTGGCACTCCTGATGGAGATGATGGAGATGCTAACTTAACCAGTGGCACTGCTAGAAATTTTTCGTACGGGTGGCCAGATGGGGCCGCTGAGAATCTTGGGGTGACGCACCAAAACTGAAAGCCACAACTGAACTTCAGAAATTCTATTATGCTATCGTAGTATATAAACTAGTTGATAATTATGTCAATGCGGGAGTTAAGGAATCACATGCTAATATACTTTGGTTTCTTATTTTACAGTTAATTTATTTTACATGTAGTCATTTTGTAGTCACTTCAGGGGGGCACTGGGGGACCATCAATTTTATCAGAGTGGCCATGTCCGCTCCTACCCCCCCCCCCCCCCCACCTTGATGGTGCCATTGAACTTAACCTTTCAGCCCACCAGCCACCGTGTAAAATAATACCAGGTGTGCTGCAGAACTTCAAAACTCTGAGAAATGGGCGTTTAATGGAAGCCCAAATTTAATGCACACCTGTAATGTAATTTTTTGAACATCCAGGCAACGAATTTTGATATTGATGAGATTTTTTTGATAAATACAGCCAGGACTTTGTGTATGCCTTTCAGTCCTCCATCACCTAGAAGTCAATAGACCCTCTATTACAAAGCATTTATTTATTAATCGTTCAACTGCAGCAGCCTTCTCAATGAATTGTTCAATTACTGGTAATAGTTGATCCATTGAACTCATGAGACGATTGCCAGAAGTATGTATTTCCCTTAACATTCATCACTCAATATGTTACAAAATTCAGCAAAAATATTAAATGTCCAATAGATATACACAATAGCTATGATTACATCTTGCTTTGTCTATTCTTTCTATGACCAAAGAATAACTTGTTAAACTCTTAAATCAACTGTCAATATCCCACATGAGTATGTTGCTCTACTTAGAACGAATGCAAGGACACCATGTCAGAAATTACAGTTTGAGAGCTTTCATAAAACACATAGTCAAGAAAACATCTGGATTGATGACATGGTACTGGAATGATGCATGGATGAGGTTTAGAAACGAAGATATCAGATGAGCTATCAATGGGCGAAACTCAACCGTGATAAAAGTGATGATTAACCACCAGGGTTCAAAGATGAGTGTCACTTCAGTAGATCACTGACAGCAATAGCGTTGTTCCCATTGTTTATATAATAGCCTTGACATATTCTTACACCGAAGCACGCTGAATCACAGTACATTTTTACTTTGGTCTGGTATTGTGCGTTCAAAGTCAGAGTTTGATGAGAGGTGGAAAATGCCCAGCGACACTCATTTTGAGACGGCTGGATGTCAGACGCAGCCAGGGAAGAGACGGAATGAGATGCGGCCATGACAATGAAGATGACGATGTCATCACCAGTCACAAGGAGAGGGCCAGCTAGGTTTTACCTTGGGGCAGAGACCTGCGGTTGGACAGACCCTGCAATGTGAACCGTTTTTTAGCCAGTGCGGCCCGCTCTGCGTTATGGCTGCTAGTAGCATCAGCTAAGGAGGGAAAGGGGGAGGTAGAGGGAAAAGGAGAGGTAGAGGAAAAGGGAGAGGTAGAGGAAAAGGCAGGAAGAGGGTTAAGCCAGCAAGCCAGAGGTTCTCCAAGGGCCACCTCCAAATCCAAGCCTGGAAGTACTCACATGCTTCTTTGTTATATATACATACATATACACAATCAACAGAACTGGAAAGTTATTAGTTTATTAATTATTAATAGTCAATTATTAGATACTTAAAGGTAATTGGTGTTTAAGTTATCAGACATCTCACACCACCCTGTGCTTTCTTAGGTGTAGACAGCATCTTAAATGCAGATGGGAGGCATGAAATCACGCATGTCCTTTCAGGCTTGGTTTCAGGAAAAGCATGCATCAGTTCGGCCTCCTGTGTGCTGTGAGCGAGGCGCCCTCATCAGGATAGCAAGAGCAGTGCGGATGATTTCTTATAAAGGAGGCAGAAGGGACAGTAAGGTGAGCCAGAGCTACCAGTCAGGTGCATGTGATGATACCTGAGAAACACTCGAGACTTCATTCATCCTCCCACAAGCAGTAAGAATTCACAGAACACCATCACGCTCCCATACCTCCCCCTGCTGGCAGCTTTGTATATTACTTCCTACAGGACTTGGTTTCTTTTTTAAAATATTCGTTTTGATCTTTTTGTAACTGAATGTTGACAATTCTTTATCTCTATACTTCACAAATATAAATACTGTCTGTAACTCTTTAAACATGTTTGCTACAGTTTGTACGGTACTATGCAGTAACTCAATATTCCTCATCCCATTTCCCACATGCAATTAATGTCAAAAGTAATAAGCATAATTATAACGAAATCTCACATCATTAACAGAAATTCAAGCTACGTTCCATTTATATAATATTGTAAAGATGTGTTGTGCCTGGAGCATTTCTGAACGACACCTACTGTATCCCAGCTAAACATCTCAAGGTATGTTAGACACTGTTCTCACTGTGCCGTGTGACGTCTGCATGTTCATCCTGTTTGCATATCGATACCTGTGACCCAAAGACACGGTGCCAGGTGAATGTCTTCATCTGTAAGGCCCTTCGTCAGTGACTGTGTGACTGCAACATGCCGATGTCCTGCTTTCAGCCTAATGGTTCCCACATGACTGTGATCAAGTGGATAAGAACTTATTGATTATACCTGGAATCCATCGGACATATTCTGTTTCCTGACAGATAAGCCTGTTGATGAATTTCGACCAAGGTGATGCAACACGCGTCAGAAGTTCTATTTCCTTTCCCGACCTCGCAGACGGATAGCTTCTTCGGGTGTTCTTTAATAAATAGATATGTCGTTTTGGTCATCTGGGCTGGGGAATGTGTGTTGGTGGCAAAGGTTCAGACAGACTCTCTGAACATAGCTTATAACAGTTGCCGAAAATATGTAGAACAGGTGGCTGGGGGAGACTCGGTGGGCTAGGAGGGGAACCATCTTTTGAGGTCAGCGTTATGGGTCTTGACCTCATTATCAAAACCTCGAACTCAGTGCGCTCTAGTTGGGCTTTTGGTTCTTTACCATGTTTGTACTAGTTACCATAAAGAAGCGTATTTAAGATGGCAAAGAACAAAACGGGCAGCATCTCTGGGGCTTATGTGTACAACACGTGGAACAAAAGCTCTGGACAATCAAAGAAGAGTTTACCTCATTGACAGGAGAAACTGTTTGCGAAAGGTGAACATATTTGCCTTAATATGTTGCCAATGGGACTTTAGTACTTTACACAGCCATATAAGGTCTCTAAGGACACTTTCTGAAGATTTTTTATTTCAGTTTGTACACAGAACACCATACAGGGGCAAAGGGGCATAGTACCCTGACAGATTCAGGGGGCCCAGCACTTCATAGGGGCCCTTGAAGCTGTAAAATTATACATAAAATTTGGGCAGGGGGGTCAATGGCGGCATATTGCCAGTGGGCCGAGAATTTTCAGCTACACCCCTGACATCACGTGAAGTTATTACCTAAATGAAAGCATCAATTAAGCATATCGGAGGCGCATGAAAATATGTTTGTGTGTCAAGTACTAACCTTTCCCCCTTTCCTGTTAAAGTGTTCCAATCACTGTATTATTCTCCATGAAAATGGAAATAAAAGAATGAATATATTTAATACTGTCACAGAAAATAAAATGATATCTTAGCTAAATGCCTCCGAGCAGTCACTCTCCTGTATTGCAAATGGGGCAACTGTCAAAAAAACTTAAATTATTGCCACTGGTAACTTTAAGATTACGTGACAGATTTTCTTCACAACAAAAAGCGACTTTTGTTTTTTTTTTTTTTTTTAACCAGTAGTGCAACAATTAATTTCTATTTCACAAAGTAACTCCAAAGAGGTTACAGATCTGAATTAATTGTTTTAATTGTCAGTGATAAAAGATATGCTATTACCAGCAAAACAATTTAGAACATTCCATTAACCCTATTTGATAAGGATCTCTTATTAGTAATGCTGGAAGGCTACAGCATTTGTTTTGCTTTCATGAGGGTCAAAAGCCTCTCACTAATTGTAAGTCTGGACCTGGTAAAACAGTCAGTACCCCCTGCAAAGTATAATGCATACAGACCATCTGTCGCAACCTTCATAATTCAGCATCTTTATAATTCAGTAAGTTACATAGGCAGTCTGAAATTGACATTTGAGATTATTGTTACTCTGATTTACTCAAGGAAATAAAAAAAAATTCTCATCATATATTCTCATCCCCAAAAATATCCCCTCTTAATAAACTTAGAAATGATCAACTAAACTCCAGATGACTCAAGTGGCTAGTTATCCTTCACCAGTGTGCAGGTATAATGCTTATGATTAGTTTGGAATAAACAAATACGATGCAGTCTCAACAGTAGGCAATGAGAAACTTTCATGAGATCCCTGTCATACTGATGTGGAAGGAAACAGATCACTTGATGAGTACATGTTCATTTCAACCGCTCACAATATTTTTATAACACTTGGACCATCATTAAAAAGGATCAGGCATCTCGAATCAACATGACCTTGTTAAGATCAGGTCCTCCCACTAAACAGAGTGTGAAACCATGTGTAAAGTAGTCTGAGAGACCACCAATGAAGCTACAGGCATATTTTTTGTTCAAACATGTACATTTCAGCATGAAATAAAATCACAGGTGTTATTTGGGAGGAACTAGGTCTAGCAAATGTGCCATATTGATATCAAAATTCATGCAATATACAGCTGGGTTGAGATTACGCTTTAATTTTTCATATGGTTAAACCATCCACACATTATACTACGACACATGGCAAGTTATTTAGTGATACAGTTCTGGTATTATGTCCAGCCAAGAAGAGGGGATAAGATTCAACAGATTGAGATAATCAGTAAGTTTTGATAAAAGAATCAGAACTTAGGCAGCTATGCAATTTTTATGATTGTTCCTTTTCAAGATCATCTAGTATGTGTTAAAAAAATCAGTGTAAAGTTTACCGCCACTGCTTTTGGAAGAGCTCTATAGGCATCATAACCATACTCATCCTTTCTGTCAGACACACTCATAGACAGTGTGGCACATTTGTGAGAAATTTAACAAAATAAGTGAGGTGAATAGTGAAGACGAACTGGTCACTAAAAGACATTAGCCTTCAGCTATATGAAAATGTTTTGGATTTCAAGAGCGAGGCTTGTGTAAACTATGCAAAAAAAATGATACAATGTGTACTCTTGATCAGTATGAAAAAAGAGATCTTGTGATATGTTGAAACAAGGATTTCTTGGCCTCACCGCAAAATATTATGCAATCATAACTCAAACACGGGCATTTCTAAAAGAACACCAACCCTATTGTAGGCAGGGTGGGCATGGCATTATTTAATGAGAGCATTCCTTTCGTGGGGGCACTGGAGCACCTGAAGAAAGCGCTAGAAGGGAACGTAGGTGACAGTTTCTTAAACCCTTCTGACCTCTGTCAGAGAACTGAAATTGGAGAAGGTGTTTACCTTTCAGCACAATAATGACTCAAAGCAGAAAAACAACAGTGAAGATGATAAAGGACAAAAAAGGTAAACTGAGTGCAGTGGCCCAGGCAGAGGCCTGCCTTCAATCTGAAACCAGTGAAGTCACTGGAAAAGGGTGGCAAAACAACAGATCCTCTGAAATTTGACTGAGCTGCAGCCATTTAACATTTTACAAATGTTGGCGCTTTACCAGCTCAGAACGACTAAGGCACTAAGTGAAACAGAATATGCTTCTACCAAGTAATTGTACACTGTTAGCATTCTCTGGCGTCCTGTCTAGGGTGCACCTTGCTTCATGCCCTATGCCAATATTTCCCAGTCCCGTTCCTCAGGGATTCTTAGACAGTCCATGTTTCTGCTGCCTTGCAGCTCCCAGTAGGACTCTCTGGCAAGGAGCTGGGATGGAGCAAAAATGAAGAACGTCTGAAGGTCCCTAAGAACCGGGCTGGGAACCACTGCCCTATGCTACCTGGAATAGGCTCCGGGTTCCCTTGTGACTCTGCCCAGGATAACCAGTTAGAAGACAGATGGACATTAGCACTGTACATGCTGTGTATGGCCTACCTGTCATGTATGGCCTAGTTACAATTTATTCATTTTGGAAAATTATAGTTTGCTCATACTGGAAGTTTCAGAGTGGAAAAATGAAAGGCGTCTGCCAAGGACATCCACCTATTTGCCAGGAAAATGCTCGGCAACACTTTACTTGAGGGGGCACAAGGAACTTAGTTACTCAGTTACTACTCAAATGCAAATCATGAACTAACATAGTAACTGTATGACATACATGAACCATTATGATTGATTAATGATCAACGAACATGTGATCAGTACATGATGAACACATAGTTTCTGGTTAATTAATACATTAAGTAAGAGTGTACTACTACAGTATTTGTGCCCCCTCAAGTATAGTGTTACCAAAAGCTCTGGTTATAACTTTATAATCTGTAACATCAATATGCTACCAACAAATGAACAAAATGACAACTATCTACTGTAAACCACTTCACTTCCATGAACAATTTCATCTTTCTGCTGTATTAAATTTGGGGGGGTCGTGCGGTTGCTCTTTCATGTATATTTGGTTTCAGAGAGAACCAGGTGACACCCCCAGTTTTGCAGGAGAGCCCAGTATTGTACACAGTTTGCACCCAATCTGTTTAACCAATCCTCGGGAATGCACATAACAATTACAAGTGACGGGAAATCAGTCAATTGCTCTTGTATTTGTATTCAGGGAAAGTAACTCAATGACTGAAAAGTCAGAATGTGATCATAATTAAAGCGCATTTGCCGTAGCGACGTTGTTATGTAGTCTGAATGTCTCACCGCTGAACAAAAGATCTCTGGCAAAGCTTGCATGAGCAACTCCCTGTCAACTGTGTGTCTGCGAGCCATACAGTACGTGACAGCTGATTATGAAGGTCTTGCCACGCTGGCCAAGGTGCAGCCTGATCTAAGTCAGGTTTCCCCAGGCAGTGCTATCCTGTTCATTAATTAACACCTGTCACATCTTCTGTAAAACCATGGTCATTATCAAGCCCTCTGCAAGGTAAGTGGCTCAGAGGGCATTGTGCCCCGAATGGTACAGGTCAGTAATGTCCTAGGGAAATATGAACCAGCAAATCAGGATATTTAACCCTGGGTTTGAGTCGTGAGTCTGGAAACCACATGGTAGACATTGATATCAACTGAGCGATAACGGCACGTCCATCCTGTGATAAACAGTAAGCAACATTTGGGGCAGATTTGAGGATATCTTACCTCGCTTCTGTCTCATTGTAGGAGGGGGATTGCTACTTCTGAATCCTGTCTCCGGGCTGGAGGAATCGGACTGCTTGAGGGCAGCTTTTCTCATGTTTCTGAGGAATGGACAACCAGCAAAATGCCGTTATCGCCGCCTACATCTCTGCACATTCGCCGTTCAATCACTGCATATAATGAAAAGGTCTGGCAGAGAGGGGGAAAACGGCGTACCGCGTGCCGGGCGTCATTGCGGAAGCCGGGTGCACATTCTCCGTGATCCTCTGATGCAGCTGACTGGCCTCTAACAAGAGAAGAGAAAATGTTATTGGAGCAAGAAAATAAGTTTGAGGATGATGACTTTCACTTCAGACCTAGTCTCAGTATGGGAATTCTGCCTAAAACGAGTGGTGGTTTTGTTATGGAAATAGCTGTGAGGCAATGAAGCATAAAGAAACAGGGAAGCAATTTGTTGGCTTGTTTAAAACTATATGGATAGAAATTTAAATATATATACTACCAGTCAAAATGTTTTGCACACACTAAGATTTTCTACATTTGCATGTTACAACATTTACTAAAACTACACTTTTTTTACATATAAATAACACTTTTGGGCAGTGAGAGAGGCCGTATATTGTATTGCTGAATGCCTAAATAAAAATGATTCATGGCTGATTCTTTTTCGCAATGATTCTGTTGAAAAAAGTGATAGTGTACAACCAATGATTGAGGTTGCAAGAAAGAAACCCATGGAAGGGGAGACAACATGCTCAAGACCCTTCTGATGGGTGAAAATCTACTGTTGAGATTAAAATGTTTCTTAATCTAATCTAGGATGCAGTTTGTTGTAAGATCAAGGTGGGAATTTAACCACAATTGAAACCATCGGCACCACAACCATGCAGAAATGATGGATGGAATATTGTGTAAACTCCGAGTTGGCTTGCTCAGATAGACAACACTACTGCTGACATCAGATTTTTAAAATGAAATGTGGCTCTTTAATAATGATGAGGAGTAGATAGCAAAATGAATTAAGAATGAAGCACCTCGGCATGCCTCAAGCTGTCCTGTCAGAACCTTCCTGATCTCGGACACCCACATGTTTTTCACGTCTACGGAGGATGCCTGGGAAGAGACACACAGCTGTGACTTCTTCTCCATTATATAAGAGGCACAGCTGCTCTGTGCTGCTGCTTCCCATGGGCTAACAGCGCCCCACAATGGCCAGATGTAATAGTACCAGATGCTATTAAAGTGGCAAACAATCACAGAAATGGTGAATCGTAGCAATGAAATCCCAATAGACAATTAGACAGCAAAAAACATGAAATATGGTGATGCAGTTTCAAGGCATAAATTGCCTCATCCTTCCCAAAATTAAAACAACAACAACAACAATAATAATATTTCAGCTTATTATTCTTCAGGCTAGGGATGGGCAACTGGGGGCCTGTGGGCTGCATCCAGGATCGGGAGAAACGTGAAACACTAGGCGTGAGTCGACTATCCAGCTGAAATGACAATTCAGCGTGAATGTGTTCTTTCTTAAGTCGACTGCCATCCAAAAGTTACTGACAAATATCTTTATCTGTCTTCACCGCTTCTATTTTCTCTTGTGCATTGCATTATGTGCGCTTTAAAATCGCTTGGCTAGACGTAAGCTTGGGCGGTATTATGGTAGTATAATTAGATCGCTCCCAAGGCTACCTAGTTGTGTACTTCGCGTAGTTCACGTTGCACTTACTCTTCCTCCCTTGTATACATTTTACATTATACTGCGGTACACAGTATTTTGGCGGTATTCTCAAACAATATGTCGATTTCTTTTTAAGATACAGACCTATGTGTGCCTACATATTTGACTGATTTTATGCTGATTTAAGATGTTCTGCAGCCTAGCTACAGAAAGATTCAGTGTTAAATATATTACATCACAAAATAAATACAATTAAAAATGGTTGCAGTACAATTTTTTATTGCTTGCATGTGCTGGCCAAATATCGAAGTGGCTCATCTTTCAACCAATTTGACTAGGCCCCCGCTCAACCAATCTGACTGGCCCCATCATAGCTGTTAATAAATTTTATCGAGTGAAGACTATAGTTGCCCATCCCTGCTTTAGGCCCTTGAGTCTCGTGCGGTACGATCAGCTATGATTACACCTGAAATTCTCTTCCCTCTGGCAGCAGATGTCATACCTGGATTATGTAGACCTCCTCCCTGCCATTGTACCACACCTCAAACTTTTTGATGTCACCTTTGACATTTTCAGTGATTCCAACGGCACTCATCTGGAACGAAACGCAGAATCGAAGCCACACCAATGCAGAGATGCCACAGTGAATTATGTTGTCATACAATTATGTTTCATATGTGTTAAATTAATTGAATACCGAGAATATCCTCCGAGTACACTTTTTTACTTTTGTTTTGAAAACTAGATACATGCAGTGCAGTGTTAAGTTTAGGCCCCGTAGAAGATGGGGGGTGGGGGTAACAATCCCAAGGGCCCCTGACTGATAGGGGCCCTAAAAAATTTGAAGCATAGTTCAGTTGGTCTGGGTTGGCAGCCCATTATGGTTTGCTTAACTCACCAGGCTTTATGGTATGCCAAAATTTCTACTGGCACCCCCATTTAAAGTGATTTAAAGGCACAGTCATTGTTTGTTTTTTTTTATATAAAAATTAGAATAATCATAGGTGCTCTTCTCCAGATATGCAGCAGTAAAACGTGGTTATAAGCTGGCTTTACCTTGAGCGAGTGCTTAAAGCCATATGAGGGAGATTTCTCATGGCTTTCTGAGGTCTCCTCCCGCTTCTTGCAGAAAAGCAGCATCTTGTTGTAGAGGAACAGGTGCCGCTGCATGGGTTTGAAGCGGGCCAGGTCCTTCACCTTGCTGTGACCCTTTTTGTGGTCCGTCCACACGTTGAAAGAGCCCTGCATCAGCAGCTTGCCCAGATCATAGAGGTTCCCCTGGGATCAAAGGCCACATTTTACTTAAATATTTAAACATTCAACTGAACCAATACCCAAAAGGAAAACAGGAAAATGTCAACACAGAAAACCCCATGACAAATGTCAAAACGAATGCTTTCTTGACACGACTCCTGCCTCCCCACCTTCAGTGTGTGACCTTGTCACCAGTGCGCACCTCAAAACCTGTGATGGCGATCTGGTGCATGGAATCGTTGACCGACTTAACGATGTCGAGCATCGTTGCCAGGGCCTCCTCCAGCTCCGCTGTGCCTGCTGAGTTTTTACTGCACTTGAGCATTTCCTGATCGAGGCAGCAGAGAACAGATGAACTCAAGCTTTACTCACATTATGTGCACACAGCAAAATCCCCTTTTCCAGCTTGTGTGATTTGTGCATGATCTTTCATGTAGAACACATGCCATATATACAGTAAATTACCAGAAAAACTGCTGACCTTATACACAAATACACACACACACACACGCATAGTCTTAGGCAGCTAAAGAAATGTATGTTAAAATGATTTCAAGCTGGTGTAAAACCATGCTATTATGGCTGTCAAAATGTGTTAGCTTAGCCATTTCAAAACTTCTGCTAAAATCACCACAGTGTTTGCAGCAGCCATCCAGCGCACCCATGTAGTTTTTGACTCGACCACTAGCACACCTCGTATAGCTAGTCAATTTCTCATTGAATTTTTTAACTAATGAAATGTATTAATTATTAATTAATTAAGCTAGTGGTGAAATATGTGTGTGTGTATATAACTTTTTACATTTTTATTACATTTCAATATGTTCTTTGACTAATTGCACGTTATTTTTTTACTGAAGGAAATTTCAGTATATATTTCTGCATTATAAAACACCGTGACAGTTATGACAGTTTATGTTATACATTAGCTTTTGAGCTGTAAAAGCAAATTTAGACATAAGTTAACCAAACAATCCATTACTCAGCTTCCTATAGTCAAATTACTGCAGTCACATTATTATAGTCAAATTCAGATTATAGGATTTGTAGGATGTGTATTAGTAATTTTTTTTATAATGAACACATTCAGTACACTCATATTTGATTGCAAACCATCTAAAATCTCTTATAGCATGTTCTTTTTAAAGTAAGCTTTTAAAAGAAAACAAGTTATTTTTTATGAACTGCTCAGCTATTTCAGTTCATGGTTATTTTCTGCAAACTGCAAAAGTATACCCTAACCATAACCACAAAACGGTATAGATCCACGTGCCTTCAGCAGGAGCTGGTACTTGGTGATTCTCTGCACAGGCTTCAGCAGGTACGCGTCCAGTGAAAGCTTATGGTCCAGCTTCTTCTGACATTCCTGCAATGACAGCTACATGTAACTTCTGTTCATCTGATTGTCCTCCATTAGCGGAGAATCACATATGCAACCTGACTTACATTTATTCCTGGAATAAAGTAAATCACCAAAAGTTTCACACTCTTTATCACCAGTATCATCACCATCGCCATCTTCACTTCATCACCATCGTCTTCACCTCGTCACCATCATCTTTCAGCACATTGTCATCACCATCACATCCCCATTATCATCTCCACCACATTACTCACATCACCATAGTATTAACATCCTCATGTCACTGCCAGCATCATCATCACCATCATTATCACCATCATCATTGCTATTGTTGTGAAGCAACAAACGAAAGCAAACAGTCACCTGGAAGAAAGTGCTATCCCCACACTGCCTCCACAGAGCTTCAGAGCGCGGCTTGTTTTGACAGTACTTTTCATAGATCTGCAGGTCTTCTTTCTAGAGAAAAAGGGAAATGGAGGCAAATGGAGCTTCACCCTTCATCCTACTCATCCTCTATTTGTCAGCAAGTAGTTTTTCTCATGTCTGACCCACTCACCTGTTTCAAAAAACATGTTCCCACCATTTCTGGATTTTCCATGCAGTTTTCAAGCTCTTTCAGAAATGTCCTATTAAATTAATAATAATAATAAATGAAAAGCAGGGAAGACATTTACTGGAGCTGTAAAAATTTGTATTCTGGGGTAACACTAGGCTACATGGCAAGTCATTATCATTTAATAAAAGTATATATAATTAACGCCTTTTAGTGTCCTGTTTCACATTTGCAGATTCTGTATATTTGTAAATATCACTAAAATAATTCAGGACAAAATATTATAAATAAATATTTAAGCTATACATTGAAGAGCAAAATTACAATCTGTTTCATGACTAAAGGACTAAATATTATTCAAACGAAACACAAAATGAGCCCTATACAGATTTACATGCAGTATGGTGCTTTGAGGATACAGCAGGTTTTGGTGTAAAGGTCAAAATTCAAGATAAACCTAAGTCACATGGTCAGATGTTTGAAGCATTTGAATGTTGTTTAGCATTAGCCTAGATAATTATTCCATAGCAGAAACTCAATAAACATGCCTGAAGCATAACAGGTTGGACTTTGATGGAGGTGATGATGGAGCTTCAATAAGATATGCATGTGAAAGTGACAAGGATGTATCAGGTACTGCTGATATCAAATACGGCACCCTTTAGTGTCACGTTTGAGGCCTTTTTGTGACTGTGCCGCTAACTGTAACCCAATATAACCTGTGATCAAATGACCATGGGAAATATAATATCCATGTGGAGGTCATGAAATAGACTGATCTGTCTCCAAGGACCCTTCAGAACATGGTCAGCCTTGTCTGAGGTGAGTCCTCCACCATGTAATTTACTTTGATTAGGCATTACCAACTGGCAGCAGATCGATCGGAAAGGACACACTCAGTACGTTTAATAAGTTAAATTGTTCCAATTTTTTCCCAGGCGTGAAAAATACACATAGTCATCAGGTGCCTCAAATAAGGCGTGGCTTTAAAATTTATAGTTTATATTTTTAAAGAAACCAACCCTGCTGAACACCCCCAGCATTCCACGGTCCGGTGAAATACTCGCAGTGATCCAGCACCAGGGGGTTGGAAACCCTTAGCTTAGATGATACTGTAATTGCTTTTCTACTTTTAGGCTATTACAATCATGCAGATGAACCTTGTGTTAATTACAAGTCAAACTGCAACCTGCACAAATAATTTAAACGAGTGACCTTCCTTACCTCTTATGAAACTCATAGATTTCTGGAAGGTTGCCGAACAGGACTTCTTTTTTGTTCTCAAGAGCTGCTGGCACTAGATGGGATAGCTCAGAGTTATCCAGCTCAGCAGCATAGCCCTACAAGGAACAACAGTACATCCTTAGCCCCTAAGCCTGGGAATGCCTACATGTGGATAGCTTCATCACTCAAACGACAACTAAGTAAAATATGTTTAATTAAGTAAGGCATCGGAAACTAACACTGCTGTACCACATAAAATCCTTCTCAGATGCAGTCCTGCAGGTCTGGTCTTCTAACTGAACAAAGTTCATATTAATCATGTTTCATTGAAAATGACCAGGATTTCTTTGAGGTGTGCTTTGTATGGACAAGAAAGCTATTGAATTACACGTTTTTTGTCTGAATACCAGGTAAAAGTAGTTTCTTCCAGTTAAATGTAAAAATGCACCCTGTCCTCCCACATACCTTCTCGCAGTTCATAAAATGGCATTTTAAACAAATTCCTCACTTTATCTCAGGGCCCAGGTAACAAGCCAATATTTTGTATACAAGTAGTACAGATACATATGTATTTCATTATAAAAAATTGACTTGACTAATTACTCCAAGCCCTTCACTGTTTTTTAAAATAACCAAAAGTATATATTAAAAAAAAATGCAGCTCACTCGACCTAGAAAAAAAGCAACTTAGACTTGCGCAAAAGTTAAATTTGACCATGAAAAAGTATTCAGTTTGACCTTTCAAATGAGCTATAACCAAGTCATGTAGCTGTAATAACAAAAGACTCATAAAAAAACTCTAAATTATCATAATCTAAATTATATTACTTTCTTGGCACCCATGGAGTGGAAAAGGTGTTATATATCTCAAAGGGGGAAAAACATTTCTGAGCTCTCCAAGGTATGTGCAATTCACATGACAAATTTCATCAAAATCAAAAATTGAGTAATTTTATTTATTTGTTTGTTTGACAAACACTCTGGGATGCAAATAACCAAATTTGCTGAAGTAAAATAGTATATAAAGTTTCACCATAATCTGAAAAATGCCAGAGAAGTGTTTGAATGATTGTCATGACAATGTCGAAATTAAATATTCATTTCACATGCATTATCACACATACCTCTATGATGCTTTGCAACTCTTCAACATACAGTCTTTCTGTTTCAATCAGCTCATTCATGATGTGTCTAGGAAGAAAAATATTTAGTTCATTAGCTACAGACTCTTTACTATAGTGACAACTGCAAGTGGAGAAACATCTCCAATGAAAAGTAAGTGGTTGGTGTTTTCGATATGAATCAAGCTATGTATAGTGTGTGTGTGTGTGTGTGGTCCAGGTAAACATTACATTGTGGGGACCAAATGTCTCCACAATGCGATGACAATCTATTTTGACATTGGTGGACTTTTTTTCTATTTTATTTTATTAAAAAAAAAAAATCTGTAGAGATTAAGTTTGTCATAGTTGAGATTGAGGTTATGAATAGAGAGTCCCCACAAAGATATGGATACCTATGTGTGTTTGCTTTAATAATAACTATAAACATCAAGCTTAACATCTAAACTTGTAGCTTTGGGCAGTTGTTGAACTAAATATAAATATAACGGAACTATCATAGAACTTAAACTAGTTATTAAAAGGGCTTGATATGAGGTTTGAGGATTTAATTTCTATACCTCAGGGTGTACAGCGCTATTTAAGGTGCACTGACTATCGGTTGTCCAATTCACGAAAAAGCCTGACAGCGAAAGCTGTCCACTTCTACACACACTTACTACGTTAGTGTATATAATTTTTTATACAAAAAAGGTCCAGCATTAGGTGAACCCATCACTCATGCAACCGTAAAGCAATCACATTTCCAGTAAGTACAACGTTTGCGTTTAAAATGCAAGCTAAACGTATCTTGGATAACCAGAATACGTTTGCCATATATAAAAGCTATGTTAAATGCCCTCTTGTTATCCAGCATATGACGAGGACACAGAAGACATTCAACTGAACAGCGAGTGAACAAGTTAAACATTCTTTACACTATAATGAAATTACGCACAGAATAAAACGCATTATGCTGGTGTGCTTATGTGATTCAGGTGACAAATTCTAGGGTGACTGTTGCTCATAGTGCTAAAGGACAGCTAGTCACTCCACTCCTTGAAAGCAAGAGACAGGACATATCATTTTATGGGAACCGGTTATGGGTGTAGGCAACCAAAGATCTCCGACCGAGCAGTATTTCCTCCTTCGGGCGCAGTCAAATGAAGTGGAGGCAGCCCAGGCAACAGCCAGAAACAGTAACCGCACCGATAAGAAAACCCGCTGCCTCTCCGTGACTCGTCTGTGTCCGCGATAGAAGAAGAAGAAAAAAAACTAAGCTACGTTTCTAAATTGGATTTTGATCATAATGTCCGTCAGAACTCACCCCGGTGTCCTACTACGGTCAAATAAATAGGAGAACGAATAACGAAATACCAGTTTACGCAAGATTCCACCATATGGCTACAAGTTTGCTTTATTGGTAAGTGTCTCAGTGAAGGGTGTCAATTTAAATTAATATTAAGTGCCTAAATGCATAATTCAGTGGTTTCAATAGCTGATCATAAGTTTAGCTGCAAGTGTTTTATGGATTATCACATCTTAAGGGGGCACAAATAATGTAGGAGTGCATGTCTAGTGGAACAGTAACTGTTAGTTACGTGCTGATCCCGTGCTTGTTCATCAGTAATCAATGACAGTTCTTGTATTTTCAGTTAATCGTGGTGGACTCAAGTCCAGCGCAAATACTGAATCCCAGTCCAGCTCTGGCAACCTGTAACCTGGCCATCCTGCCGCTAAACAGTGGCTTGCATCTTGCAGTGTAGCCTCCTGTATTTCAGTTCATGAAGTCTTCTGCAGACAATAGTCATTGACAAATCCACCCTTGACTCCTAAGGAGTGTTTCTGATTTCTCAGACAGGTGTTCGGGGATTTTTTTTTCATTATGGTGAGAATTCTTCTCTCATCAGCTGGTTTCTTAGGTTCTTAGACTTTCTGATTACAAAGCTCGCCTGTGCTCTTTTATCTTGTTTCATACTGATGTTTTTGGTAAGACTAAAGTTTGTCCAGTGTCTCACACTTTTTTATTCTTGATTCTTAGCCTCATAGTCGTTTCCTTCAGTTTCATTGGCATAACTTTGGTCCTCAAGTTGACAAGTGCCAATACAACACTCCAAAGGTTATCGAAAGCCTAGAATACAGACTAGATGCTGAAAGATGCTGTACCACTTAAAACACCTGGAAGCCATGTGTCCCAAACATTATGGTGGCCTGAAATTGTGGGCTGTGTAATTGATGTAATTTCTACCATTTTATTAAATCTGATTTTTGAGTTGAGTGAGTTGATTACAGATCTAAACGTGTGGAGTTCAGAGGCAAATAAAAAAAATTAGGTCCTTGTCCCAAATGTTACAACATTTACTCATTCATCTGATTCTTTTATCCAAAGCAACTTACAGAAGAGGAAAGGGTGTGTGACCTGGGGAACCTTTGTGTTGCTAATGTAGTGCTCTACTTGTTGAGCTACAATATAAAAGCTATACACTGTATTATATATACACTGTACACTGGATAAGTGGTTAGGAGTCGGATGATTGAAGGACAGATGGGCAGTGTGATGGTTTTCTGACTTCTCATACACTCTTTACTCTTTTTCAGAAATCAAGACAGCACGACATACCTCAGAAAATCATAAAGTCATCCACAGCCAATTCAACCACTTCAAGAGCCAAATCTTATCACTGGAATAGTTGTTTGAAGATGGTATTTTTGATAAACCCTCAGTATTCGGAAAATATGTGTATGCCTCGCATAGAATTAATAAGATGAAAGTTTTTCTCTATTGGACTTGACAAGGAAACAGTAGGAGGATTTCAGAATGTTCGTAAATTTAAGAAAATTCAGGAAATGTAAAATATTCCAACTGACAGTCACATGGTTTGTCTTGTCTATGACAATAGTCTGTTGGGAGGACCTGGATGAACGTGTAGTCAGTCACCTGAAGTCGTACTTGTACCGTTACTTGATCAACAATTACAGTTTCATAAACAGCAGTTTCTTCACTAGTCAAGAGAAGGCCCAGATCCTCAACACCTACCCCTACTTGATCAACAATGAGCACAAATGTGAAAAAGAGGACGTGCTCCTTCTCCTGTTCGTGAAGTCATCTCCTAATAATGTGGATAGGAGGCATTCTATTCGCTTGACCTGGGGCAATGAGATGTACATCTTGCAGACTCTGGGCGTCAGAATGAGAGTGGTGTTTGCATTGGGCGTGCACGAGCAGCACCAGCAAAGGGGCTACATCCAGCGAGAGCTCATCAGCGAGGCTCGCAGGTATAAAGACCTTGTCCAGCAGGACTTTGCCGACACGTTCCACAATCTTACTGTGAAGCTGGTCCTCCAGTTCCAATGGGCTTACACCTACTGCAGACAAGCCAGGTTCGTCATGTCGACTGACGACGATATGTTTATACACATGCCCAACTTAGTGCACTATCTGCAGGGTCTGAGCAGTAGGGATGTGCACGATCTCTGGGTGGGCCGTGTGCACAAAGGATCCCCCCCTGTCCGTCACAGAAAGAGCAAGTACTATGTGCCTTATGAGATGTATCCATGGATTTCCTACCCAGACTACACAGCGGGAGCAGCATATGTGGTGTCCAGGGACATCATGCACAAAATCTACCAAGCGACCATGACTCTGCACACTACACTTCCCATTGATGATGTTTTCATGGGCATCTTTGCCAGTACAATAGGGGTTTCACCTCAAGATCATGCTTATTTCTCAGGTGAAGGAAAAGCACCATATCACCCTTGTATCTATGACAAGATGATAACCTCTCATGGACATGTTTCAGACATCCACTACCTCTGGAAGATATCAACTAGTCCCCAAAATGTGAATGTGTCCACTGGACTCATGGGGAAGCTGTACTGTACAGTCATGAAAGCAGTGCTTCTGTGTAAACCGTACAGCACCTACTCCTGTATAGCAGCCTTTTCATAGAATTCACTGCCCTTTCACTCCTTGACAAAAAGGGCTGTTGTAAAGTTTTACGTTTACATCTTACTAGTAACTAACCTACCTTTATGTCAGCAACCGTAAATAACTTGTTCTCAGGCAGTAGCAAAGGTTCGAGTCTGCAGCATTTCTGTTAAAATATCTACCTGCTCTCAAGATACCAAGGACAGAGATATCAGGGGTAACCATTAGGTTAGAGAGGTGTGCTCACACATACCTTGAGTTTTAAATTCTATGATTCAAGGCATATAAACTCAAGATCAGATCGAAGCAGCCCAGTACATAAAGCTATATATTTTATTACAGATCTAAAGCATAAAATGGGGTAATGACTTCAAAAATGTATCATTTAATAGAAAAAGAATCAGCCAGGCCGTAGAGCAGGTGGGGTTAAGGGCCTTACTGAAGACCCAGCAGTTAAATCACTCTGCCAACCACAGGATTTGAACCAGCAACCTTCTGCTCACAGGCAGAGTGTCTGAACCTGCTGAGTCACACAGGGACCCTCGTCCCTGGTTGGCAAAATATACTGTTGCTCCTTGGTAGCTCCCCAGATTATTTCCTTTGTAAAAGTAGCTCTCACTGTAACAAAAAAGCTGGAGACACTGCATTGGGAGTTCACATCCCATCCACACTAATATGCCACAAGCTAAATATCAGTTGAAGGAGATAGACAGTAATAATGGACCAGATGCTTTAGCAAAGATTATTGACCAAGGCTTTGTGAATTCAGGCTAATTGTTTTAACAAAGCCTTATGGAATGTTTTCATTAAAACATTTTTTTAATGCAAATTAACCTGTTTAAAATTGGTGCAATCTTTTCCTAATTATTTGTGTGTAATTAGAACTGATTCAGTGCTCTGCTACAAGGCCATTTCAATATATTTTGAAGTGCATTCTGATGAACTGTTTTAAGATTGTTGAATGATTGCACATTTTCCATTAAATGGGTGTGTGGATATTTAATAGTTCACCTGGTTCATCTGCAACATGCAAGTTAAATATGTTAAATAGCTAGTTAACAAGGGTGCCCGCTTCTATGGAGAGTTCAGCCATAATTAACTAATAATTGATTATTGATTGATTGTTGAAAGCATTCATAAAAATATATAATATACATATGCAATATCCTTGTGAAATTTTTTTCTAGAAATGAAATGTAAAAACTTTGGTACATGATAGACACTATAGAAGTGTAAAGGTACATTCAACAACAGAGAAAACACAGAATGAATGTCAGTGTCACAATTGAGATTGACACTGTCCCTGTAGAGAGTTAGTTTTTACCTTCTTCTGCTTGACAAAGTTTCTTCTGTCTCATTCGACACTACTGCGTGACTCGATCCTCCCTGGCTGGCTTCATGCATGACTTCAATCTGCAAACAAATGGCAGAAAACTGGCCAATTTAAATGATCAAGGACTTTACTGTCTATCAGTCAGACTAAGAGACAGAATATGACAGGGAGGACAGATTAATGTATTGCTGGCTTTTGTTTACCATATTTATCTATAAAGTTGATCTGATAGAGTACAGAAAAACCTATGGTGTGACATTAATGCCACACTTTAGCTGTCATGTTGACATCAGTAATGAACTAACTTTAAAACACCAGCTACACTCTTACACCAGGAGAGTGACATTTCAAAGCAAGGTCTTCAAAAGCTGCATCTGCCATCTCGTTTATACAAAAGGCCTGAAGTGCAAAACAAATGAATAAATCAGAAAGCACAATGGCATGTCACAAAGAGGTCATCAGAAATTGCTACTGCAATTAGAAATCACAATGGTAACTCAGAAAATACACCGAAATTAACTAAAACCAGAAAAGGTAAGTACTTACTGAATCTCTTCAGGTCTTGCACTGATTGGACACTATATCATAACGAGAACTCCAAAATTGTTTTCTGAATTGTCATTGGGTTTTCTGAATTGTCATTGGGTTTTCTGAATTGGCGTTCAGTTTTCTGATTTGTTCTGCATTTGAGGGCTTCCATATGTTTATCCTTAAAGTTATACAATGAACTTTCACTAGTCCCATCAAGAACGGCTGCAGTGAAACCAAATCTGACTCGTCTTATAAAAGGAGAGCAGTAGTATTAATGAATCATTTCCAGTCCAACAGAGCCACTTTTCTAATGACTGCCACTCTTTAAGCTGGGTACCGTACTTTACCTTAATGCCTTTGGATTTGCGGATGTTTTTCTTTTTTGCCAAATCAGTATCGGCAGGTTGCTTTGGAGGGTTGGTCTTCTCTGTAACCCTGTGGTTTGGTGCTGAAACAAAACAGATCATAATGGTGAACAAATATGTAACAAAGGCAACATGAATCCCTTGGCCCATTCTACCCTGTAATGGACCTGGCCATACCCCCATTCTGCAGCCTGCACTGCCACACTATACATCCCCTTTCTCCCCTTTCCCCTAACTTTATTTTAATTAATAAACATATTTCTTTGTTAATCTTGTGGTGGCCCGACTCCTTTATGTTGCTCCTTGAGAGCCGAGGTTGTCACAACTGTTAAATGATCTGATTTAAGCAGCTATATGGTGAAGATCATAATATTAATAGGCATCTTTTCCTCATGTGTTATTCAGTTGTACGTGCATGTGAAGGTCTAATCAGGCTGAATAACATTAGCAATATATCTGTAGGCTGTGGTCTCTCTGGATTCCAGAAGATCATTAAAAGGAAGGTGTGATCATCAGCGATATGCAGGGAAGGAAGGAGGACCCCATGGTTTATCCAGGACTGGCCACTCCAACCCCCACCAGAAGCCCTGGATCAATACCACCATTTACCTAGTGCTGAGGGAGTGAACTGCCAGGCTTGAGCTATAAAGGACTATTATGGCTGGAAAGGTAACAGTACCAACAGAAGCTGGAGAACAACTTTGGCAGCTCAGATCTGCGACGCTTGTGGAAAGAACTGCATGCGATAATGAATTACAGAAGCTCGACAGCTGCATCTACAGACACCTCCGCCTCACTCCCAGATGAGCTGAACAGCTTGAGCATCAGTGTATGCCAACATGTTCAACTTGTCCCTGTTTTTGTACACTGTACCACTCTGCCTAAAAGCTGACCAGAATTGTGTATGAGGCAAAGAAAGCTACTCTTATCTGCTTGAACAACTACTGTCCCATCGCTTTAACCTCCATAGTTATGAACTGCCTGGATAGCGTAACCTCAACATCCCCTCAACCCTGGTTCCACTCCACTCCAACATAACAGATCTATGGATAATGCTGCCTCCCATGCCCTGCACACTGCTCTGGGGCATTTAGATTAAAGAAAACCCTACATCAGGACGCAATTCATTAACAACTCGGTTTTCAACAGCATTATACCTCCCAAACTGGTGTTAAAGCTGAGAGCTCCGTTTGAGACTAGGTGTTTTCACACCAGCACTTTATAGCCCTGACTCTGGTTCGATTTCCCCCTTATTTTGAGCAGGTGTGAACACAGTAATCGCACTCGGGTGCGACCCAAAACAACCGCACTGAGACCCTTGAGAGGAGGTCTCGGTCTGGTCCCAAGGAGAAGGAGAAAGGAAATGAGGTCTTGGTCTAGTGTTTACTTTCTTGCTCCTGCCACTGACATCTGGTCAATAAGCAGAATGAACGTTCGCACATGGTTTGTGGTGTATTGTCGCTTCAGATGGATTTTCCTCTGATTGAAAGCAAAACACCCCAAGTTTACAAATTCATCAACTGATTCGAACCAGAGAAACCGAGCTATAGGTGTGAAAATGCCTAAACGGACTTCTGCGTAACTAATCTTCTGCATTGAGTCCACATCAACACTTGTCTCACAAGGCCGCTGCCTCATGCCGATGCTATACAGTCTATTCTATGACTGTGTAGCAAAGCATGGCAGAAAGAGCATCATCTAATTTGCAGACAACATCACTGTGACTAAGCTCATCAGTGATGGTGACAAGGCTGCCTACAAGGAGGCAACAGACCTGACCACCAACACTGACAAGACAAAGGAGATCACAGTCAAATTCAGAAAGACCGGAGGTGTCGATTCCTCACTAATCACCAATGGATCTCCCATTGAGACAGTCAGCAGCTTCCGGTTCCTGGACATCCTGATTGTTGACCCTGGTGAACTTCTACCACTACACCACTGAGAGCATCCTGACTGGGTGGACCATGATATGGATGGGAAATACAACTGCTCAGGACCTCAAACTGCTACAAAGAACTGTCTATACAGCCTCAAAGATCATCGGAATAGATCTTCATTTTCTGGAAAAGGACTTTACTCATACAGTAGTGTAAAGCTTATTTAGTCAGCAAAAAAAAAGGGTGAAGATTACAGGTTTTATCTTGGGGGTAACTTACGATGGCCGGTTGTCCGAGGAGCCTTGGGTGAGGACCGTTTTGGGGAAGACTCTGGCCGAGGGGCAACTGGCTGCACAGGCCTGGTCTGCTTGGCAGACAACTTTTTCAGACTGACATGTCTTTTCTCAAACATCTCCTGTACATCCTCGAGCCTCTGCAGGGACTTCCGCACATTGCTCTGGAAGAATACCATCCAAGGAAAAAAAATAAAAAATCAAAAGAGAGACTGAACATGAAGGCAAGTTATCCATCTAACTGTTCTTACATCACCTACTTCTAGTCTTCTCTCTGCTCTTCAACCTACATGCATTGAATTTTTATCGTCAAATCAAAGTAATGGTTCTGACTTCTGGCATTGATGCCCCCGCTTCACATGAAGTTTCCAGCAGATATACCTTGACCTCAGCTGTGAGTACAATCTCATACTGGTTGTAGAGGTCCTTCAGGTATGTCAGCTGGTGTTCCTTTGCGGTTTCCAGGAATCTCTCGATGTCCTGAAGAGCAGCCTCAGCACCTTCCTGAGACTGACACTTGTCCACAGCCTGAGACGCCAGCAAGTACACGCCGGACTCACACCAGTGGTTCACCTGCAGCAGACGACAGGTTGTTTACCAAAATAAACCACACAATTTCATAAAATGCACACGCACCATGAACCTTATTAAACCTCAAGGCCAAAATACATTATCACAGACATCAGCCATGTACATTCAATCATCCATTCATGATAAATATAAAAATTCATGTTTATCCATCTTCTTTACCACTAACCCTAGAGGAAATTTCTCAAATAGGGATAGCAAAGTAGCTAAGTGCAAAACATTGCGGCCTTGTGCTCTTTTAAAGTCATTCTCTTTAGCTAGCTGTTCTCTGGCATGACATTTTTTGAAGGAGTCATTACTCTGTATTATAAAACATTAACAAAACAGAGGTGACACCTGATTGTGTTTTTGTTGTTACCTTATCCATCAGTTTATGGATTTCGTGGGATTTCGCCAGTATGTCGTATTTCCGTTTGGCCTCATTGGTAAAGTCATCGTAAATTCGCCTCAGCTCCACGCACTTGGGCCGGATGGAGTCAACGGCGTAGTGATTGCTCTGTATCAGCTGGTCACCATGCAGAGCATGCTTCTGTGCCCTCTCTAAGGATTCCTGCAACACAGACGGGACAGCATCACCATCACCAGCTACAGACAAAGGGGGAACGGAAGCATGTATTACGTTACACACACAACACTGCAGCACTATATATTTGTTTGTTGGTGGGGGGCTATTGTGCTAGGACTTTAATTATGTAATGCAACATCAATAAAAATGTGATCAATTATTATTTTATCTTGAATAGGTGCTTTGACCATGTACTTTGCATAAAAAATGAGAGAAAAATTGCCTAAAAAGGTATATATTTGTAAACGCTTTAGAATGTATTTTTATACTAATGCAGGAGTACCTGTGTGTTAAACAGTTGACACCCAAGAATGTAAGCTAAAGATAATTAAGAGTTAACCATAGTGTGACTGTTCGCTGGAACCTTAAGCTAGGCAGAATTCGCAGAAATGTAGGCTGGAGAGTACAGGTGTCAGTCTGGAGCGCGTTTATCAGACAGCAACAGGAAAACACCGACGAGATAAGGGGGGGGGGAGAGTCATGCAAAGTGACACATGAAGATACATGCAGTATTAAGTAAATACATGCTTGCAAGATGCAAACTGCAAAAGGGATATATGTTACAGTGCATGTGCTCCACCCCAGCTGGAATAATCTGGTTCGAGGAGGGGGCGCGAACTATCTGTGTCCCACTATAAAAGGTGTGTTATCCAAAAAGTTCTTAGAGCATAACCACAGAACTGACAGTGAAGTGTCTGCTCCCTGAATTCAGACGGGTCATGATTATTACATTGCAGTTACACTGTTATCCATATAGAAATTTTATAATATTAATGCATTTTATACATTCTTTTGTATGGCATTTTAAAATAATGAAAACTTTTGCAGGAAGCAAAAATTATAATTTCATTATTTTTACTACACTGAATCAGGTAACCAGTTCAGAAACTAGGTCAAAAATGATTTATGTACAGGTGACCAAAGAGAGTCATGCAGTTAGGTAGATTACATTGTAGTATTCACTGTTCATTATACACCGCTTTTAAAAAGCAATAAAATATTAATGTGGCTTGGGTTGGAACAATATGATGCAATAAACAAAGGCAAAATCTGCAGGTTCTTTAAAAGGATCAAACAGCTAAGATAATATTATGCTGACTTTCAAATAAGGGTAACAAAGAAAGTGTAGTACAGAGTGTACAACACATCAATAATTTCAGAAAGCTTCATTCATGTGTTGAAAGTTTAATAAAGCCAACCTGAGCCTTCTCTTCCAAGGACTTGAGGTCTTTCAGCAGCTGTTCCACACGCGTGACACAGTCCCCGATGTCACTGAGGGCCGCCTGCGTCGCCATGAGACTGTCCAGTGACACTTTGACCTGCCGAAGAACAGAGCGAGGTGATGCAGACAGATGAGATCATTGCCTCCTATTGCTGGGCATAGCTGAGATCCTCAAGGAAGTGCCTTTGGTTCTCAGTGATAACATACATCTCGAAAGTCCTGCTCGAAGTGGCGTAACTGCAAGCACTGTTCAAGCTTCAGGTGATGTTTGGACCAGAACTCCTCAAAGGCATTTTCTGTCTCGTCTAGCTGTGCCAGCAACCTGAAACATTAATGGACACATTAATGGGTGCAGCTGATGGAAAAATAGTGAATTAAGGTCATTTCAGTAATTGTGACTAATTCAATAATAGGTAAGAAATCATGCTTACAATAAGAACACTAATTATAATTAGAGTAAGGCACATTCCGTAATGGGCTTTAGGGTTTAACCAACCTCTCTACAGTTATTACATTCTCAGTCTCATCAGGGTTGAGTTTATTGTTTGGGTTCTTCTTTGCTTGTTCTCTAATACAGGACAGCAGGGTCAGTCCTTCCTTTACAGCGTGTTCAAGCTCTTCCTGTTACAACGAAAGAGGAAAACTAATGTTGTTTAGAACAACAAATGAGTCATGTGGGTGCAGACACTGCCGTGTTAAGCAGTGGTCACTGTTTTAACACAGTTCAATTGTGTGAAAGACTTAAAATGAAATGATATGACTTTAGATTTAGAGAGAAAAAAAACACTACCAGTTACATGTCTTTTTTTACATATTAACAGCCTTTCTGATAATGATGATAATTTTTAGAATGATTTATACTGTACCATGTAATACCAGTTGCTTTTTGCAGCAGCAATGAATGTAGTGACTTAAAAGTCATCTTTAGGTTGGTTCTACAGTCAAGGGGGTCTGTTCTTCCATTGCTTAAGTGAAGCAGCTACACACCTTTTTGACTTAAGCGCACATTGACCCCAAGGTGTATAATCTATTTTTTTTATTTTTTTATTTTTTTTTTACCCGTCGTGTCCGGCAGTTCAGGATGTCAGAATGTGCAGGTCAACATGGAATGATTCCCAATGAGTGTGCGAGGCCACAACCACGCCGCCCCGGGGCCCCCAGACGGCCAGGAGAGCCCCGAGTGATCATGGACCCAGCCGCCCCACAGCGGCCAGGCACCCGGGCCCCCCGCCACCGGAGGGCCGCGCGTCCGCCCAAGGAGGCAGAAGGGGGAGCCACTGGGCGCCCCCCACCGGCGAGCACGAGCCAGGAACCCTACGGCCACAGGCGGCAGCAAGCCAACCCCCCCGGGGACCGTCCACCCTCCATCCACCTTGATCATTGGTGGTATACATGTGAACTAAAGTGTCATTAAAATATGGGGGAGCATATGGGGAAAAAGACACCCACCGGCCCCCCCAAGCCCTAAGTGTCTAAGGTGGAGTTAAAATAGAGGGGAAGGGAGCTGCGCAGTCCAGTTGCGGGCAGCCGAAGCAGCCGACCCAGGACCTGCACAGCTCCCCTCGCCCTCCACGGCCCTATGTGAAAGAGTGGTGTGACATGGATGTATGTCTAAAGTGCAATTAAAATAATGAGGGGGGGGTGAGTGGCTAGTCATCCCCCCCCTTCCCTCTGTGTGGTGCGGTGTGATGTCTTGGTGTGGTGTCTAACGTGTAATTAAAAGAGATGGGGGGTGAATAGCTGATCACCCCCCATTTCCTATGTGTGGTGTAGGTGGATGCGGGCTGGGGGGGGGGCATGGGGTGATAGGTGATACGCTGCCATGCAGCAGGCATCAGGCATCAGGCAAGGCATGCCCGGACGCCCGGCACCAACACCCAGGGGGGCACCACCACCCCCCACCACAGCACCCCCCACCCCAATCTGAGGTGGTGTCTGGGGCCTCATCTGCTCCGGCATCGCTGACGAGCGATTCATACACAAATACCCACATTCACCCAACACTCACCCGCACCACCCCATCACCGACGTGCTGCCCCGTCCCAGGCCATACATGCAGACATACAGAACATGCATACTCACCAGATACACACACACCGACACGCACGCCCACACTCACCAGATACACACCGACACGCACGCCCACACGCACACACTCACCAGATACACACCGACACCCACACTCACCAGATACACACCGACACCCACACCCACACTCACCAGATACACACCGACACGCACGCCCACACGCACACACTTATCTCGAGGCCCGGCAGCAGATGCCCTGGAATTGCCCAGTGGACGACTCCAGAGGATGTTCCCCCAGCCCCCAGGTCGCAGGCTAGAGGCCCCCCGCGGACGTCGCCGCCCCGCACCCGGGCCCGCCAGCCAACACCCACTGCCCCCACCATCCCCCAAGCCCCCCGGTCCACCCACCACCCCCCTTGATCAGTGGGAATGGGCGTGTGTGTGGAGCTAGGGTGCAGTTAAAATGTGGGGGGACACAAGTGGGGGATGGATACCCCAGCCAGAGCTGCGGGCCTCCCCCACCAGCCCCCACAAGCCCTCAATGTCTAAGGTGGAGTTAAAATAGAGGGGGAGGGAGCTGCGCAGTCCAGCTGCGGGCAGCCAAAGCAGCCGACCCAGGACCTGCACAGCTCCCCCCGCCCTCCAAGGCCCTATGTGAAGGAGTGGTGTGACATGGATGTATGTCTAAAGTGCAATTAAAATAATAAAGGGGGGGTGAGTGGCTAGTCACCCTCCCCCTTCCCTCTGTGTGATGCAGTGTGATGTCTTTGGTGTGGTGTCTAAAGTGGAATTAAAAGAGTTGGGGGGTGACTAGCTGATCACCCCCCAGTACCTATATCTAGTCTGGTGTAGGTGGGTGTGGGCTGGGGGGGGGGGCTGTGGGGGAACGCAGCAGGGCAGCGGGCATCAGGCACGACACGCAGCACCAACACCCACGGGGGCACCACCGTCCCCCTCCGCAGCACCCCCGCCCCAACCCGAGGGGGGTATCCAGAGCCTCATCTACGCAGGCCTCGCCGATGAGCCACTCTCACACAGACACCCACATTCACCAGACAGACTGACCTGGGACCTGTATAATCTAAATGTCTCAAATACTATCCAGCTCTATACATTAGCTAAGGCTTTTATCCAAAAGGATTTCCTCAGGGAGCTATAGTCGAGTTTCTCCTGGGATGTGACCTTGGTTGAGTCTTATTTACCACTACATATTTTACATTTATAAATGTAATACTGCTTGAAAGTACAGGAGACTGGCTGAAGCTCTTACCTAAACAGCTTATTAATATCATATGTAGTAAATGTCTCTAATATGCATAAACAACCAAAACAGAGTTATTCATTAATGGACCAAAACAGACGGAGACCAAAGACCCAGATTCTAAAATTAGTTCCCCTGGAAGGTCCTGCTCACCTTGAGCTTGTCGTGTTTCTCAGTGTGGGCAGCCAGAAGATCTTTGGTGCACCGTACGTCATTGGGGAGCTCCGTCTCGGCCAAGTCCGTGCCAAATTTCTGCAGCTTCTGGGCTGTGGTCTTCACAGTCACTGCAAAGTTCTCTATGGCCTATGTAGCCATAGACAGGGAGTGGATATGGGTAAGGCAGCCAAATTGCAATATGGGGCATGTAGTTAATCATTTTATCGCAAACAATACAAAAAGAACCCATATTTCATAATGCCAGCCTTTCTGTGCCTGTGTTAAAAACAGGTTAGCCATCCCAAATCTTAAATACAGCACAGTAATCCCACTCTATCTGCGGGTGATACATTCCAAGATCTACCACGGGTGGCCGAAACCACAGATAACAGCGAAACAACCATAGCAAACCCCATACATAATGTGATTCTTGTGTATATACGTACCGTACGGTAAAGTTTGTTTGGCCAGCAGGTGTGGCCGACCAGCCCGCCTTTTCACTCCCTGTCTAACCTTTGTGTGTTACCCTGCTCCTTGGACAACCACATGGCTCAGGGGATTGAGCATGTGGCACGGAGGCTGTAACCCTACAGTTATGGGTTAAAGGCTAGCTTCACCTATTGGTTATTTATTGCTTTATCCTTAGTTTGATATTGTTTAAATCTGTGTTTAATCTGTCTTGTTTATGGTTCTCTGCACCTACCTTGGTTATGTTCTGTTTTACTTGTCTCTTGATTTTCACCTAGTGTAGTATTTCCCTGTATTACCTTAGTTTTAGGTTTTGTAAGTTCCTTAGTTCTGTGCTCATTAGTGTTAGTTACTTCACCTGTGTATTGTTGCCCTGTGCCCATTTTGATTGGTTGTTTTTGATGATTCACACCTGCCTTTTGTTAGGCCTTATTTATTTATTTAAGTACCTGCCTTGGTTAATTGTATGAAATGCTACTCTGTGTGTCTGTTACCCTTCCTTTATTGCCCAGTCCCGGTCATTGTTTAGCTTAGTTCTGTAGCTGTGTTTAATCTATAGTTTTTTTTTTTTTAGTTGATTCCTTATTTGTTCCCGTCTGTTTTTGACCCCTCATGGTCCTTTATTTTGTACCTCCCCTGTTTGGTTCAGTTTTGTTGTCATGGAGCTGCCGGTGGATCGTCACCTTTTCCCCACCTGCGCCGTGCCGTAACACCCAGTTACATAAGTTAACCTGAATATGCATGATGGCTTGAAACCCCACATAAAAGAAGTGTTATTAGTAATACACAATATGGTGACCACAGTGTGTCTTAATGCTTTCAAGCTATTCTCATGCATACATATGGTATATGCTGCATTACTGGTCAGGGAGTAGGCTTTTGCTGAAATTCAATTCAATTATATTTGTAAAGACTATTTTCACATTACGTTTTCTCAAAGCGCTTTATATTCTGGTTGAGTTTCTGAAGTGCTAGCTGTCAGTTAACTCTTTGTGAAGAGTGTTTACACCATGCAGCATGCATGTTGCTTCTCCACACTTCTCAATGGCATTCATTTGATCAACTGGTTTTTGACCTTTCACAACCTTCTTGTGTTTTGAATGTACTTTTTTTCACATTGCTACCAGCTGTGTTTGGACTGCATTTTCGACTGAGTCGAATAAACCTCAAGGCTCCACATCATGATCACATCACCATTGAATTACAGCTGTTTCTCAGACTGAATACAAAGAGGGGGAAATAAATGGCATTTGCTGCTAATGCAAAACGATTTTCAAAGACTGGTTTGAGAAACACTGCCCTAAACAATACAGCACACCCTGAAACAAGATGTTACACAACATGCATTCAGTGGCCTGGGACCTGCTGGTTAGCACTGTCAACAGGTCCACTGAGTGGATGGACAGGAGAAGCACTGTGCCCACAGACTGGCAGGCCTGCTCAGGTGGGGTTAGGGCTGGGTGGTATGACTGAGTGGATGGACAGGGGAAGCACTGTGCCAACAGACTGGCAGGCCTGCTCAGGTGGGGTTAGGGCTGGGTGGTATGATGGAGTGGATGGACAAAGGAGGCACTGTGCCAACAGACTGGCAGGCCTGCTCAGGTGGGGT